ACTTAGTTATCTATATGCAAGGAGTGATCGGATATAGATGATTTGCGCCGCGTTTCGTAATAAGTACAATGGTTGGATTTACAAGGATTAAAATGGGTTTGAGATAAGTAATTTTATTGGACCGATAGAGAGCACTGAACGAAAGAATAAGAAACTGAAAGTTATCATGGTGAAGCAGGTTAGAGTATAAATCGCAAATGGTAGTTCCACGAATACTCGTAGGATTGGCTAAGATAAGAGTAGTGTTGTAAGGAGAAATAGATTCAACAAATTTGTCATTTACCGTTGTCGGCAAAAAAAACCGAGAGAAATACAAAACCATCTCTTCGCTATCGAATATAACATCTGATAAAGGCATAGTGTGCATTGTAGCGGTAAATAAATCCCCAAAATAAATATCTCTGTAAGTTTTCGACATTGGATGCTGACCACATTAGTTTTAATGGACTCACCTGGCTGAAGGCGCTCGTTCAGGCATCCGAACGCCGTGCTCAACATCTACTGCAATCGCTAGCCAGATTAGTTCAGACGATCCTCGATATATTGATAACTTAGCAAACATATCTTCGAACCTCCTCGCTTCTGTCTTTTGATTTCGCTTGGTTGGTACGCTTCATATTGGAAGGTGTTACTGGTTAAAGTGTTGTCAAACTCCGAATACCTGTGGCATCTTCAACATATTGAGAGCCGGACCAAAATTTCTATAGGGTCTATGAGTGCGACCAAGTGGCCATTTATAATTCGTATCAAATTTTATACCTGACGTATGTGTAACATGTTCCAGACGTTTATTTCCAAGGTTTGTGGCTAATCTTGGCTCCTTCTTAATGTGGAGAGAATCGTGTGTTGATAGACATGCTTGCGATGGTTTTCAAGGTTCGAATATATCGACGTTACGTGTATGGTCAGTTAAATAAATTTTATGATTATTTTTTTTCGTTATGTGTTGCTCGGTTACTGTAACTGGGTGTTGTACTAATAGGGATTTGATCTGTGTCACCACATTCTTCATCAGCAAAACTATCTAGAGTTAGATCTAAATCAACGTTCTTAAAAGGATGAACTCCACCTACATCTGAGTTGCTTTCTTCTGGGTTTTGAACTTCAGGAGATTCAGGAGTGTATTTCGGTGGTGGCATATTTGTCAAGTTAGACATCTTATAAGAATCGGATTTCATCTTACGACTATTAGGATTATGATGCGTTTGGGAGTTTGACGCTGGTAGTCTGTACCCATCTCTTCCTGTTTTACACTGGCATGGTGTTCTATCTGGAAGAATCTTAATATCCTTGAAAATTCTTAACGGCTAATAGAACTACGCCCAACCCTATTGTTCGAGATAGTAAGTCAGCTTCCAAAGCTATGTTCAAAAGAAGCATTCAACCGTATTTGACGCCATGTTGCCCCTTAAACCAGTGAATATATGCAGACAAAATCAGAATGTCAGAAGTCTTAACGTGTGTGATGGAGTGGTTATTAAGTCATACTTTGGGAAAAAAGGATCGAGAACCTAAAGTATGATGATTAGAAGTATTTGAATTATAGTATGAACTAATAATCCCAGGGATAACGCAATTGAATCAAGAAGTACTACACAAGCACCAACGAATGTACTGTATTTAGAATTCGAAATCAAACATCCGACAAGTACAAAGGAGTCATTAGTTCATTCAAACACCACATCCACCACAGCTTAAATTAGAGTCTAAGTGTCTGTAATCAATTGTACGTCTTCTCCTCAAGTTCATGCTGTGTCTGTCCGACAATGTATTGGATAAATACTCTGTATTATCTAGAATGCACTCATTATTATTAGAATAAACAACTGAAATCGGAACAGACTCACTTGATTTCTGGGATTGTGTACAATCATCATGTCCGTTGAGTACTGAAAGTACTGCTACCTAGAATTTCAACCATAGACATTCAGACTATCCTCCCCCACGAAATAATGTCGGATCTTCATATCCCCAAGTTATGAATAATGTGGCTTCATTTAAATCATCTTTCTCAATTCGACTAGAGTAAACATTGGAAGTGAATTTATGATAAGGACAAACAATAATTGATATGGAATCATCTGAATTGTAATCAGACTCTAACTCATTTAATACTCGTGCTTCGCATTGAACAAGTTTCTCACAAGAAACAAATGCATTATGAGGACAAACAATATTTGATATGACATCAAGATTCGATTCTTCTGAAATAGTTTCCTCGAATTTATTAAGAATGTCATTGCAGAGTAAAGGATCGTTAGAAAAATCAGCATCTATCAAAACTACATCAGTTTTTTTATCATCATTAGGTTTATTCGAAATATTTTCAGCAGATTTGTAAGAAATTTCACCAGAAATATGTGAATCATTAGGAAAAACCATATCTGGTACAAAAACATGAGAAATCTGATAGGTTGATTCATTAGAAATTGTTGTCTCGCAAGAATCTTGAGTTTCATTTGACTCTGAACTGCTATATGACTCTAAAGTGTCTTTTGAAATCGTCGATAAAGATAAATGATCATTATAAATATTCAGATTAATAGAATCAAAATCAAAAGACTTAATATTAGTTGCAGCAACATGAACAGTAGTATTACAAACTGACTGAATATGTCCAATATCAACACATTTAAAGCACTTACAATTACGAAATTTACATGAATTAAAAGGGTGGAACCTTCCACAGCACAAACATTGACCAAACTTGTGCCCATCCTCGTCAACTGCATCGCAATTCCCAAATGAACTATCTGCATAATCTTGAGTATGCACTGGGATGGGGCGACGTAATGTAGTGGAATTTTTTATATCCTCATGAATTATTTTACGAAATCTCCCTTTACCGCATTCGAAATTTGTATACTTAGCATAGTCTAGAAGTAGTTCCTTGAGAGTTGTATAAGGAAGAGAAATGGGCTTTTCCGGTATAGCCAAAATTTTTATTAAGCTATATGCTTCTTTTCCGATGAATGTGAGAAAATGTGCCACAATATTAATATTCGCATCATCTTCCTTGGTCATAGCCCAGATTTCGAACCTTTCAAAGTAATCCTCATAAGCATCAAAATCCGAATGAATATCTAACTGTTCCATCGCAGGCTCCATCGCGACGCCAATATGATAATTAGAAGTATTTGAATTATAGTATGAACTAATAATCCCAGGGATAACGCAATTGAATCAAGAAGTACTACACAAGCACCAACGAATGTACTGTATTTAGAATTCGAAATCAAACATCCGACAAGTACAAAGGAGTCATTAGTTCATTCAAACACCACATAAAGTCATTGAAAAAAGAACAGGAAATGGTTTGTACAAAGTGCATTGGAATTTTGGAACGTAGGTTAGACGCATCAAGCAAATCTATAAAGAAAAAAGAACGTAGAACACGATAGACAGACGAGTGCGTCTCCCATTGGAGATAATTACCGATACTCCAGGGACGGGAATTCCAACGGACATGTATTGTCGCTGAATGCCAAGAGAAACAGAACGCCTCAGGAAGCCAGTTATCAAATTGCAAGTAGACGCGAAGAAGAAGTATAATTTCTTGAAAAGAGGGAGGTATTGAGGAGATCTAGAAGGTTCCTCGAAAAAAGCAAAAACGGGCCCTAAAAACGTTGTGAAACATCTTCTCCAATCAGCGTTCACTAGACGTTTTACCAGAAACATCTAGAAAGTCACACTTCTGATTGGATAACCACATGTACTGATAATAAGTTCAATCAATTACCAAAGCCTTTCGTGCCTCTAGGTAACCCTCGTAATATTAACAGAAGAAACCAGACTAGTAGGAAAATAGGTCTTTATTTTGATTTTCGCTCAGTCACAATGGAGCGTGGGATTCCTTATTCAGACAAACAAAACCTCTCAACATACAATATAAGATAATTAGAAATATAACACCTAAACAAAATAAAGAAGTGAAAAAATATCTGAACTATGTTGTTTTGACATATGCTTAGTTGCTTGAGATCAACTCTTAATCAATTAACCTAAGTTGTTACAAGCCTACATTCCAATTTAAGTTGTGGTGGTTGTGTTATTTGTATGAACTAATGATAGCAACGTACTTATACTGCCATTAGTTTAAAGTGTCGTTGAGTATGCAGGCCTATATACGGATGGCCGAGACTCTTCTTCTTTGCGACTGTCCAGGGTATAAATGGTTGAACTATCTGATTGCATAACTGCCAGAAATGAGTTCACGTCTCTTCTACTGATGCTCCTGAGTCAATTATTCAGTTTCCAGACAATGCTGCAGGGCTGATCGCTTTCGTGTTTGCATTCCATATGTTGGGACGAGCCGACGTAACGGTTTGACAGGCCATCTCAGCCAAGAACTCGAATAAAACAACTGCATAACCACATCTCCCCAGAGATGTGTGAAGATTAGATCCAAGAGAGACGAGGAGCTTCGTAAGTCATATCTGATGGGATCTCTAATATGCTGAAATAAAATTAGTGTTATTTTTGGAGATGTTTAGGTGCCAGTCTTCAGACACTCTCCTCTCAGTGGCAAGGAGAAAACACACTTTCCTCTGACAGAGTTAAAAGAAACAATTGGACGCTTTGTCGCTTAATTCTCACTGCTGTTTTTAAGAAACTCCTACAGTGTTCGCTTTAATCTCCCCTTTATTGATTACTTGGGATTGTTGCGTATTGAAATGAATTACAAAGTGTTGGGTGTTTTGAATTATAGTACGAACCAGGAAAGCCAGAAATAACGCAATTGTATCATGAAGTACTAGATAAGCACAGACGAATGTACTGTATTTGGGATTCAAGATCAAGCATTCAAGTACAAAGAAATTGTTAGTTCACTCAAACATCATAGTGCCTCAGGAAGTAACTTTTCCTGTCATTTGACAAGACAATATGTGAATGTCAATTCAACTTTCATTTTCTGTACTTGGCTCCAAATGTAAAAAGTTCACGGCCACTTTCGGTAGTCTGGTCAGATCGTTCTTATCGCAAAAGTGAGATAGTGAACTATGGAAAATAATGTAAGCATAAATGTATTGTGTCAATTGTAAGTATAATTTTGTATTTTGATGAAACACTGTTATGAGTACTTGCTATAACTGCGAACTCAAATGGTCACTTATTTCTAAATAGCTGAACAAAGTGATATAACTTGATCTTAGAAGACAAGACTATAGATAAGGTTTTGTTAGCACTACAAAATAACTACGCAACTGGTACAATTACTGGTCTACCACTGATTGAAAAAGTATCAGAAGTGTAGTGTTATGTATGATTCATTTAACAACTCAGTAGTCGAGTTTAAAAATTTGAGCCATAGTAGGCGACATTCACTAATCGATGATCCGATGTAGAATCACTGCTTGTATGATAGCCTACTCTGCTAAACTGCTCAAAGAAAACTAGTAGAAGTAGGATATCGATCCATTACCTGTAATGTCCTTACCATTCAATCATCAGTAAATGCACAATTCTCTGAGCAATACTTTATTAGGACACTTTTTTATTAAATACACTGAGATATAAAAACATTTCGCCCTGAAACTTCCACAGACGAGAGGAAAATCTATGCTATCACCAAAAGATGGTTGTATTTTTTGCTCCATTGCTTATGGAAAGACAAATCAAACAATCCGTTTCGAAGTAAGTTTTGATTATTCTTGTTAATCAATAACTTTTCCAAACACTTATGAAAGAGCAGTGATTTAGTGATATTTGATGATCACTTACCAAAAGCTCAGTATCACTTTCAGTGTGTTCCTAAAAAGCACATAAGGAACGCTAAATACTTAACGTATGAAGATATACCACTAGGTAAACTCTGGCTTTGCTTCATGTAAATCAGTCATAGACATGATGAACTGCGGGAAGAATTACATCACTAGTCAATTGAAATTGGACCCAGACGATTTTTTGTAAATTATCATTCAATATCAAATAGGTTGTAGGTTTGGATTTCATTGGCCACCATTCAATAGTGTTCATCATTTACACATGCATATCCTTGGACCTAAACAACTTATGGGCTTTAATCTAATATTTGATCCCCGGTTTCATATTTTCCGAAAGGTAAGTGTGCGATTGTGCTTATTTTGACGCTTTTTCTACCAATTCTTTACTAGGTTGAAAGAGTTTTGGATGGTTTACAAAAGCTCGAAATTGGGAGGAAGAAGTGAAATAGGTCGACCCTAAGCAGTCAAATGAATAACTAAATACTCAGTTGGCTTTCTTAACATGCTTTCATATTTTCTTCCCTATTTTGTTGATCATTAAATCAATGTAGATAGTTCTTTTTTTACAGTGTTTTCGAATCATGTAATTTAATATAGTCTTTTTTATACAGACTACCATTTCTCAGAACACAATCTTAAAAGCCGTTGTGATATTGTTTTGACAAAAAGTATGTTTTCATTATTTTATCAGATACGATTCTCAATGAATCATATTTTTCATATCTTCATCATAACTTTTTGATAGTGTTCAGGTACGACATAGTAGTTGAGGCTCTGGATCATCATCTAATGTTCTGCAGTTCGGGAACCCATTACACCTACCTCGATTTATCCAGTCCAGCATCATAATTCTTTATAGAAAATCTGTGTCTCAAAGATTAGTACACAAACTTGTAATGAATAGACGAGTTTATTTGGTCATTACAATAGTTATAAATCCTCTACAAACAGATACAATACCAGTAGTGACGTCCATTAGCAACAAAAACTGCAGGGTTAAAGTGGTTCAGTTATTTCTGGGTGCTCTAAAATATATTTCGGCAGGTTTTAAACACGATGAGTTGATGCAATGTATACGTTGACTGACAGCTGCTATATACTTATGCTGTGCGATGAAAGTGATGTAGTTGAAAAGATAGGGTTTATAATATTGAACAGTTTTTCAAACTCATCATATAGCTAAGGCTTCGGATGTCAGTTATTAGTAAAGAGACTAAGAAAGGCGATTCAGTAATGCACTAAGATGAACGGACTGTGTTAATTAGAGATAAATTAAGTAATAGCTCAGTCGGTTTACATTTACTTCAATTTTCTACTGCCCATCAACAATCTGAAGACTGACCAAGAGAGAGGTAAAAGGAAGTTCGGACTGATAATTTTAGATGATACTTCAACAGTTATTAAGGTTGACCGAGGTATGAGGTAGGGTCTGGATCAACTTCAGATACCCTGGATACATTTGATGTGATAATCACGATATCTGATTGTAAATATTGTGATTTCTATTTACTTATGTAACACATAAACATTGGTACAAGGAGGCACCAAATGTATATACGCCACACTTCGTCATTCGACTTGTGTAAGGGCTAGAATATTGTCCGGGCGCCCAAACCGAAGCACGTAGTTTTCTCAGGAGGTCACTCCCCGAGCCTTTGACCTAGAGGTCTAACCCACAAAGCAGTGGAGAAACGTTAGTAGACGCAGTCCCATGATCGCCGGTGATCAACAATAGTTTCATACGCCAGTTTTCGTTTCGGGATACTAGAGTCCATGTGCATCACAGGTTTGGAATCCGTGTTTTCCAAATCCCCTAGATGGATACTCCGTATCCATTAACCCGGTTAAAGTGCCGCACATTGGCTTTTCATCTTCTTAATTTCGTAAGCAACACCCATGTCGCGAAGCAGTAAGTAGGACTTCCCTGGCAGTGGCTGTATACACACGGCCATGTGAGAGCGGACTCTCCCCATCATCGGCCGACCCAGGGCATTAGTGTGTGAGATTGTCCATATCCTGCTATACACAAGCAGCTTATTAGATTTGCGGGAATAAAGACGGCTACTATTGCAATATGAAATGTTCGATTATAGTACAAGAGAAAAGATGCATTTTTCGACCCTACTGAGCAATGACGGTATCGAATATTTTATCATGGGTGACTATTGTTTCCTGTTCATTCGTACTCAAGAAAAACGAAGTTGTGAGGTTGTAGATGAAAAAGTAATGGCCGTATAGGACCGCGACCAGTCGTCCCATCACTACTCTCCAGTTAGGGCTCTAGAGATTGTGCAATGCAGTCGCCTAAGATGTGCAGCCCTGACTGTCAGGCTTAATCTTTGATCGCTTTGTCAATTTTCAACTGAATTGTATCTCTTACTGAATAGTATTTGTTTATTTATTTTTTGATAATAATTAGTCGCTTTGACTTTTTGTACGGTGTCTTAACAAGTGCTTATGAAGTGTGGCAACTTGGACCGATGCATATGTGTGCCTAGTCCTACGTTGTAGCTGACTGACTTAATAAGTATATGTGTGATCAGTTTGTTCGAAATGCAGCCCTGACTGTCAGGCTTAATCATTGATCCCCTTGTCAATTTTCAACTGAACTGCCCATTTATGTGTGAGTTGCATCCACAATTAACTGGGGCACACTCGGTTCATCATTATCTGTTTCTTTCAAATCAGAAATACTACTAAATTCTACAACTCATCACCTAGCAAAATAATAGCACTACTAATTATACTAAAACAATCAAATTAAATATTTTTATGATTATGAACAATGTATCATCACATTGGTGCTCAAACAAAAATATCACTTTAATTTTATAGACAAAGAGAAAAACGAAAGAAAAAATCTAACAACTGAATGTAACATACGCATCGAAATAAAGCATAAAATAGCATAAAACACAGATAATTTGCAAGATCACATAGTAAGGGGGAAACTGTGAATTCCCTGAACCCTCTCGAAATGTACATAAATGTAACTCATGGGAATCATGGGTCAAACAGAAATGAGATAATTCTTACCTACTTGAGGCTTAAATCACAAAATATGTGATAGTACGGTCTACTCAATTTGACAGTTTGTTTTCTGTGAATGTTACTTTATGCAAGCAAGAATTTCACTCGAGTGAGTGAATATAATAATGGGATTACTGATAGACCGCATGAGTCGAGACATAAAATGAAAACAACATTCGTAAACGAGGAAATTATCGATGATGAAAGATCTTTTGTTCTCTGTCTGTAAAATCGTGATGGTTCTGCTCTATTAAGTAAAACGATAGTCAATAATTTGATGAAAATTGAGATGGATGAATTACATGTTTCTGGTTACAATTCTCCCTATTATAACACACACAGAGAGACAAAGCGTGACCTGACAGAAAACTTTTCACAGTTTAACGTAAGAGTTGGAAGAAGATGAACCATCGGAATTAGGGACGGGAAAAAAAGCAAGCGATATAGTAGAAAATACAGTCATTGATTTGAAATCACATACTGATGATAACAATAAATATTATACATCGAAAGACTAACAACGTAAAACCCCCGACAAACTTATCCTATCAGTAGTAAGCAGCTGATTGGAATGGGTCTAACTGAAGGTCTACGGGATTTGCACCAAGTGGTTTTGGTCCACTCTGTGATCGAATACGTTCAGCTCGTGGAGTCGGAGTCCGAACTCCAGCCTCCAGTTTTCGATGCGCTACAGGAGTTTCTTCTCTAGGAATGTTTTCTTTAGAGATATTGCGTTTGATACCTATGCTTTCAAGGCTTCTCGTAGTGTTAAATGAATGGCGATTATGGCTGCTCTATAATGAAAGCAAATCACAAAACTATGTATTATGTTAGAATAAAAGTACATCACGTGGTCATTCGACAGAAATACAAATGTCACACAATTCATTGAATTTACAAACAGACACGCCGAAAATGCACATGGGCAGTACGATTACATACAAGGGGAAAATAGAAAATTTCAAGCCTTCCTAGGAGAACTGATAAAGAACCCAATCAAAGTTGTCTCTGTTGATAAAACATTTTGCTTAGGTAGATTAAAACGCTTAATTTTCAGGCAATTTTGTAGTGACAGGTCCGTGAATTTGATGGTCTTACTTACACATCTTACCTTCTATACGAATACGCACTGCCGACAACGATTATCAAGTAAACTCTATCGTCGCCTCGCCATTCCCATTGTTTCCACGTTTTGTTCATTCTTTTGATGTCTGGCTTTGATTCCCAATGCAACGCGCTCCTTGGCCTGCCTCTTCCATTTCCTTTCAAGATTCCAAGTTAGTGCTTGCTTCGTGATGCAGTTAAACGGTTTCTTCAATATGTGTACTATCCACTCCCAGAGTCTTTTCCTAATTCCCTCCTCAACTAGAAGTTGGTTTGTTTTCTGACACAGTAGGATGTTGCTGATGGCATTCGACCAACGGACATGCAGTATCTTATGTGGACAATTGTTTATAAATACTTGTACATTTTTGATGATGATTGTGGTAGTTCTCCAAGTTTCAGCTCCGTACAATGCAACTGTCTTGACGTTCGTATTGAAGATTCTGGCTTTGATATTGGTTGGCAGTTGCTTCGAGTTCCAGATGTTTTTCAGCTCTAGGAATGTTAGCCTTGCTTTGCCGATCATTGCCTTCATATCTGCATTAGATCTTCCTTGCTTATCAATGATGCTGGTCAGGTACGTGAACATTTCCACCTGCTCCAGAGCTTCTCCATCAAATGTGATTTGGTTGCTGCACTCTGTGTTGTATTTCAGGATCTTGATTCTTCCCTTGTGTATGTTGAGGCCTACTGAAGTAGAGACTGCTGCTATACTGACCGTTCTCACCTGCATTTGTCTCTGTATATGTGATGGAAGGGCTAGGTCATCTGCGAAGTTCAAATCGTCTAACTGCATACAAGCTGTCCATCGTATTCCGTGCTTACCCTGAGATATGTAGGTCCTCATGATCCGGTCGACCGCCAGAAGAAGGAGGAAGGGCGGAAGTAATCAGTCCTGTCTGACTCCGGTCCTCACTTGAAATGTGTCTGTCAGCCGCCCACCATGTACGACTTTGCAGTGTGGCCCGTCGTATGAATTCCAGATGATGTTGACGATCTCCTCGGGTATACCATAATGGAGAACATAGTGTGCTTAGTTTTGAGTCACATTCTGTGTGGAGGCTTACGACATCACCCGGCTCCTCAACCTTATCTGCGTGGAGCGGGACTCAGAAATAAAACAGTGGTTGAAAGTTGAACACCTGAACCATTTATCCACCACCACACAAAACTACAGTTTATACTATATGAAGAAAATAGGTAATATATCGTAGTGAACTTACAGTAGAACGTGTCCGTTTCTTGTTAAATGACTTTTCCATAGCACTTTTCGGTACAGTATCAAAAACACAAGACGGTTGAAATGGAGATTGAGCATTGTAATGTAATTGTACTTCTTCATGAATAATATTATTATCGCGTGAACTATTACACAGGACAGCGTTCTTCTCAGAAGTAACTGGAATACAATCTTCATCAGATTCACTGTCAGTTGAAAGTCTTGAGTTATAGCGTTTTCTTGATGTTTGTGCAATTTGTCCAACAACATAACTTTCATTGAACACCTCACTTGGTAACGCTTGTACACTAGCAGATCGTATAATTGGTGGCCACACTCCAGCTAATCTATCTATTTCATCACGAATGTGTTCATAGTCTTTACGTGAAACATGTCTATTGGATAACAATAAGAGAAGAACAATCTCACGTATTTGTTTAACACACAAAACAAACAAGGATTTTCAAAAGTTTTAACTAGTTAAACAGCCGGCACAATTCTTGTACTATCCAACTAGTCGACAGAACATATCATTTTGCTGAAAATGCTAATTATATGGCAACTGTTACCGACTTTGAAGTGTGAAAAATGAATGATATGAACGTTCGGCTAATTAGATGAGCAATAATAGGTAAGACAATGTATGGCTGTGAGATCAATCGCCGTCAAAGTGGCCTACATGGAAGGCGCTTGAGCGTGAAACCGAATGTCATGGGTTCGATTGCCAACTGAGAGGTCGTGTATGTACACTTCTGAACAGCCTCATGCTAGGATGAATCTGTCAGCCAGTGCTTTCACGTTTTCAATGGTTGTCTAACTTAGATCTATTCAACAATCTGCACCACTCTATACTGGAAATGATGATTTTCCTTACTTAGTATACCATTTAATCCCTGAGATTTTCAATGGTTGTTTTACTTGGAATGCAAGTAATGATGATAAGCGTTTCTCTCTACAATAGACAGTATCCACGTTATACGGATTGATTTTCAAGTTGCAATAGATTCTACAACATTATGATCGTATTGTTTTGATAGAACAATGAGAGCACGAGTTGATCTGAACAATGTGATGCATTTGCACTGTATTATTTCGAACTCTGTCTTCTTAGCGTTCTAATGAAATGGATAAACGGGACCAATTGCTTTAAGTCGTATTGTTGACTTGATAAATATCATACTACTAATTACCGATGAAATAATCTGCATTTCAGAATTAACCTATCATGACAGTTTGGTTGAATTAAGTAGTTAAAGCATTTCATTAAATGTATGGAAGACATCAACCAGTATTGAACAAAATGGAAGGTATTCAAGACAGACATACCTGGGAAATAAAGCATGTTGAATATGACGTATTCGTTGTCGAAACGAAACACCATCAACGATCGATTCCAAAATATATCCAAATAGTAAATTCCCCAATACTATTCCATGAAGAATTATTACAAAATAAACTGAAGGAAAACGACACAGCTGGAAATAAAATAACAAGAACAAAACCATCACATACAACCCAAAGAATTTATCAGAAATGTAAACAAATATTCAGAAAACTGTCCAACCCTTTTGTGCAATGTCTTTCAGAAGAGTCTCCTGTCTAGTAATGACACTCAAACCATTTGCACAACAAATACTAGGAAGTCAGTGGTGGAAAAGGTGTAGTTAGTTTCATCCGCAATATAACACCATTAATGATGATGCCAATGGAACTCTAGCTCTATACATCAGTTAGAAATACACACTTTTGCTCAAATTAAACAATCAGAAGAATGTTTGCCAGCTATGTCCAACAGACAATCATTCATTCGCTCATTGGGAAAAAACGGAATAATTGTGGTTAAGAATTGTTAGGACAAAATTCCATAGAAAATGGATTAAGCTTTGCATCAATAAACAAAAGGATAACAAAATAAAACTGTGGTAACCTAGAAATATATGAAAACAATGAAGCAGAAAACCACTTCTTTTACATATTGCATTCGTCTCAAATCGACTTTTGTTGGAGTATCTGATAAGTCTTGAGATTTTGAACGCTATACTCGATTCCTAAGCTATTCTTGAAGACCCCCAGCTAGAACTATACAGCGACCTGAACACGAGAGAGAAGGCGCGAAGTATGCGAAAAGTACTTTACTCCAAGGTTCGTTTTTGTACAGAAAAACATGGGTATTTATAGATGTTAACATTTGTTAAATCAACATCATATCTTGGCCAATCCGCTAAAAGACATATTATGCTACTGACCAATAGTAGCACGCCACGTTGGCATTCTAGGAAGCTCCATCGTGCTCTGATTGGCTAAGACTCTTCGGCTCCTTCAGGGCCTCCGGAGGCTCTGTTGCAGTTCTCGGAAAACCGACTTAACAGCTCCTCCCGAATAAGACTTCTTTCTGGGATCTACTTGTAGCTTGACAACTGGGTTGCGGTGGCGTCTCATTATTCTTGTCGTATTCCTTGTCCGAGGCTTCTTTTCAGTCTCTTTGGGCATATGTAACGTTGGTGTGTCCAAGATTAACTCTAACGGGAAATTCGGCCGGTTATTTTTAGCCTGTAACGTTCTTTTGTCCTTATGGATTTGATTCGTATGTCGTATACATGTTCGAAAAGCTCCTCGGACTCTGTACAGAACTTTTCCCAATTTTTGTACAACTTTTCCCGGCTCCCATCGTTTCTTCCCTATGTAGGATTTAATGAAAACTTCATCGCCAACATTAAAGTTCCGCATATTATGATTTTGATTGTGCCTGTACACTAATTTGGATGGCAACATGGAGTTGAAAACGGTACGAATACGCCTTCCGAACATAGCTTCGGCAGGAGACTTACCATCTGGAACATTTGGATTCGGAGTGGTTCTGTAGGATGTTAAAAATTTTGAAATTACCTGTCCAGTTGTCCCTTCGCCTCCCCCTTTCAGTAATGCTCGTTTAAAGGTGTCCACAAAGCGTTCCGCTTGTCCATTCGATTGTGGATGATAGGGCGGAGAACGAAGATGAGTTATTCCATTTGTGCTACAGAAATACTTAAACGACTCTGCAATGAATTGCGAGCCATTATCAGTTACTAAGGTCTCTGGAACTCCGAAACAGCTAAACAAGGTAGACAACTTGTGGATTGTTTCTGACGCTGTACAATTTGGCATGATATATACTTCTGGCCACTTAGTAAATGCGTCTACGATAATTAGAAACATTTTTCCTTGGATTGGACCAGCAAAATCTGCGTGAAGTCTTACCCAGGGTCCTGCAGGCGTTGGCCAGTACTGAGGTTCGCATTTCGAAGGATTTTTAGCAGCCTGAATGCATGATGGACAGTTACGGCATTTATTCTCGATATCTTTATCCATTGACGGCCAATAAGCATAACTACGAGCCAACGATTTCATTTTGTTGATTCCAGGATGGCCACTGTGAAACTGCTTGAGAACATTGTGACGTAATAACTTCGGAATAACAATCCGATCACCGAACATAATACACGAGTCAACAACCATAGTTGAGTCCCGTCGACGAAAATATTGCAAAAGTTCTCCATCAAGGCGATTGTTTGGCCATTTGGTCGAGAGATAATGTTTAACTGTGCTCAATGTCTTATCACTCTCAGTAATCTTCTTGATGGTTTCAAAGGTTACAGGGAGTCCATTGATTGCGTCGTCCAATACGCGATGAACTTCTCTCTCAGCTTTTATATTTGCTACAACGGTTTCCTCTGGGGTTTTTGATTGGGAGCCTATTAATCTTGACAACGCGTCAGCTTGCCCGAAGGCGGTAGTTGACTGATACTTGATCTTGAAGTCGTAACCCAGAAGTGTGGTTGCCCAACGTTGGAGTCTGTTAGCTGTATGAACAGGAACTCCTTTCTTTGACCCAAAAACTGCAAGCAGTGGCTTATGGTCTGTTAATAGGGTAAAATGTCGACCATATAACATCTTGTGGAATTTTTTTACTGCAAAGATAATTGATAGGGCTTCCTTCTCAATTTGACTATAGTTCCTTTCGGTCGTTGTCAAAGATCTGGCAGCGTGTGAGATAGCTTTTTCAGACCCATTAGGAAAAATGTGAGAGATGACTGCGCCCACACCATAGTTAGAAGCGTCTGAAGCAACGACTATTGGTAGCGAAGGGTCATAATGCGTCAGTAAGAGATCGGAAGTTAGGAGTTGCTTGATTTTCTCGAAAGATGCTTGGCAATCCGCCGACCAATTCCATCTTGTATTTTTTTCTAGTAAGTTGTTAAGTGGAGCACGTAGACGGTGAAGATCTGGGAGGAAGGTACCATAATGGCTGACCAGTCCCAAGAACGATCGTAGGGTAGGAATGTCCTTAGGTCTAGGCATTGTTCTCACGGCTTCAATGTTCTCTGGATCTGGTCGTCTTCCGTCTTTATCTATTATGAACCCCAGGTATCGTACTTGCTGCATGTAGAAGTCACACTTCTCCGCTCGGAGGCGAAAACCATAATCGGCTACACGTTCTAGTACCTGGTCCAGTTTCTTCTGCAGGTCCATTTTGTCGGCTACCATAATTATGATGTCGTCTAAATAAGCTGCTGCCCCTGGAATACCTTGTAGCATGGTATCCATAATTTGCTGGAAAATAGAGGGCGCCGTCTTCACTCCAAACGGTAGGCGGTTATATCGAAACAGACCTTTGTGTGTGTTGATCGTCAAGAGATCTTTGCTTTCATCAGATACCGGAATTTGTAGGTACGCGTCTGATAAGTCCAATTTCGCAAAATATCTGCCACCATTCAGCTTAGCGAAAAGATCTTCCGGTAAGGGTAAAGGATACTGGTGAGACTCTAGAGCTTCATTTAATCCGGTAGAGTAGTCTGCACATAGACGGACGCTTCCATTCGACTTCTTGACCACCACTATCGGTGCAGCCCAGTTTGAGAAGTTCACAGGTTCGATAACACCCATTTCCTGAAGCCGTTGTAATTCTTGTTCAACTATTGGAAAGGCAGCATAAGGTACAGGTCTCTTAGGTCGAAAAACGGGAGTAGCTGCAGGTTTTAGGGTTAACAGCGCTTTGGCCTTCGTACATTCTCCCAATCCCTCTTTAAACACGTTGTGGTGTCTTTGTAGCACAGCATTTTTCTGGTTCCACTGTAGGGTGTTTTCAGCTCTGATTCGTCTGCAAATGCTGTTAATAGAATGGTCTGCTAGTTTAAGTGTCTCTATAAGATCTAACCCCAGTAAGTCTAATGCTGGCTTCTTTGTAAGGTATACAGTTGCATTCGTCGTTGCAGTACCTTTAGAAACAGTGCAGGGCACTTCTCCCACAATATTTAACTTCCCCCCAGATGCACTGCGTGCCAGTTGTGATGTTGGGAGAATTGTGGGTCTCCCAATGTTTCTCCAGGTTTCTGGGCTGATTAAGGTGATATCAGAGGCTGTATCAAGCTGAAGGCGATTACGGTGTTTATTGATATCCAAGGTTACATACTTTCTTTGGCCGCCATTTCGTGCTTGATTATGTGATACTAATATTCTTTTTGTTAGTGCTCCTAACCTGTGTTTCTTGAAGTAAGATTTTGCAGAATATCGTTTGTAGTTTCTTTTCCTGCAGCTGGTTTCTTTATGACCCTTCCGATGGCACTTACTACAACAATGTTCTTTATACGGGCAGAACCTCTTATAGTGCCAACCTCCACATGCCCAGCACGGAGATGATGGTTTGTTTTTGTCTTCACGATAATTCTGCGTGCTGGAACCTTGAGAGAATTTTCTCTCGACTGCATGGATATGATAGAACCGGTCGCCGTTCTCTACCATCACAGTATCATGCTTTAAATTCACTAACCTTTGACATTCGGTAGCTGCTTCTTGCAGGGTCATGTTAGAACAATGTTCAAGCTTGCTTAGGATTCTTGTTCGGATGTCAGCATCCTCGGGTGAATGCAGGCTACACACAAACACTAGACATTTAAACTGGTCTTCACTCATAGAAGACAATTTGAATCTCTCAAATTCTCGGTTCACTATTCCTGCATGTTTCACCCAGTCATCTCCCGGTTCTTTTGTTATCTTCAAGCATTGATAACGGATGTTGAATAGAGATGATTGTTCTCCAAAGATTTGAGACAAGGTTTTAACTGTTTCATCAAAACCAAAGTCTCGTGGATTCTTCGGAAGAATGAAGTTGCTATAGCGTTCATGTTCCACAGTCCCAAGTTTTCTTAAAAGTATTCTGACTTTTGAAGCGTCATCAAGTTTGCAGAGATCAATATAGAATAAATCTTCATGCTTCTTAAACCAGGAATCAAAAGTTACACCTGCTGCACCATCAAAATTAAATTCATGTATGGCATTTATGATTGAATCAGTATGAGATATTTGTGATTCACCAGAAGCAGGGTTTTGTTGGGACAGGCACAATTTCTGCATCAAGGCTTCCATTATTCTGATTTGCGATTGTTCAAACCTCTTTTCTTGACGCACCATATAAGCTTCTAGCTGCTCCAAAGAAATATTCATTGTAGTCATCCCCGTCGCCACTGATAAGTCTTGAGATTTTGAACGCTATACTCGATTCCTAAGCTATTCTTGAAGACCCCCAGCTAGAACTATACAGCGACCTGAACACGAGAGAGAAGGCGCGAAGTATGCGAAAAGTACTTTACTCCAAGGTTCGTTTTTGTACAGAAAAACATGGGTATTTATAGATGTTAACATTTGTTAAATCAACATCATATCTTGGCCAATCCGCTAAAAGACATATTATGCTACTGACCAATAGTAGCACGCCACGTTGGCATTCTAGAAAGCTCCATCGTGCTCTGATTGGCTAAGACTCTTCGGCTCCTTCAGGGCCTCCGGAGGCTCTGTTGCAGTTCTCGGAAAACCGACTTAACAGTATCACTAAAAACCAGGAGGCATTCGATAGCCGTTTCAGCCACGTAGAGGACATCTCAAAAGTTCGTACCCATAAACACTCCGGGAATCTAAACCACGATCCTCACTCCAGGTCTCGCGGAGAATGCGTATAGTTTAAAAAATAGAATGGCCAGTATATTGTTAATCAATGAAAATCAATATAATCAGTCTGCAACCTAATAAGAATAACTGTGACACAGTGCTTCGTCCTCAAATAAGATCACCGAAATCTTACTTCGAATAATTTGCGAACCACACGAGCTGGATGAGATGTTAAGTATAGTGATCCGGCAATACATGCAATAAGGATGACAACGAATAAATCTATAGAATTGGAAAGTCATAGAGAAAATAACAATTGCGCATTAGTTACAGCCACAGTGAAAAAATATTTACCTAAAATTATCAACATATTCTTGACGTTTATGCATAATATAACCATTTATTACATGCAACAATACACATAATATGATTGTGAACATAAAGAGAAATCCATACTGTTATCTGTCCCAATCAATAGTAAAGACAAGGAGAACTTATGGAAGTTGTATACAATAGGACGATTGTGGCTGACAGTGGAATTTAGAACACACATTCCGTCCTCCATGGCACTCTTCAGCTGGATAAACCTGCATCCCAGTGTTGATCTTCACGTTGTGACTCGAACACAATGCCTACGCATCAAACGCTTAATGCGATATGCACTGAGCTAATAACTCCAGACAGCTACTATTCAAAAGCTTCACACATTTCAATTTCGTTGCGACTGTCCTGATTTACACATCAGATCGACAATGAAATGAACATATCATCTATACGAAAATACAATAGCCTTAGTTGGCAAACGAAGGTCACCGAACAATTTTAGGAATATGGTAAGTCACCACACAAGAGACAAACATAAAATCGAATTTCCTCCTCCTCTAACACTATCATGTGAAATGTGAGTGATACAAATTACCTTCTACCATCTGTATACAGTCAGTGCATTTGTGCATTGATTATATCGATCAAGTTGGAAACTAGTTTTTCATCAAAATAACTTGTCATCGCATAAATCATCTTCTGACACTAAACCTAGGTTTCGTACTAGCTGATAACAGTCGTCAGAAAACAAATCCATTGTTAAAATACCAATCCAATTATGAGAGATCAAACAAATAATAATAATAATGATAATACTAATAATTTGGACAATATAAGACAATAATTAGAAAGAAACAACTTACGATTAGAAAAAATTGACCGACGATATGGTGCAGATTTAGAGAATACAACAGCCAATATAATATATTGATAGACAGATACGGAGAATATGGCCGTATTTTCGTAATTTTTTAATTCATAATCTTCATGATAAGTAAACAGTGGTAAATACCTTCAAAGAAATAAACGATAATGATGATAGTAATCAAAGGAGTCTCATGAAGCGACAACATGCTTTACAATGAAAAGACCGCTAAATCAATCCATAAAAGTCTGTCCACACAGTAATACTACCTAGCGGGTCATCGCTAACAAGATGTTACGAGTAAATAACAGTAGTCCATATGTTCCTTTAGCAATATTCCAATAAGTCTTAAGTAATTTTCGAAGCAACATAATTCATCGATTTCATTACAGTTATCAAGTTAATGCACTAATAGGTGTTTAAAACAGATATTAACGCAACAACCAATACAAACGGATGCTACAGATAAACATCACAACAATAGAAACATATTCACTAACCATGGTTGTAGTCGAGTAAACACAAAGACTGCAAATTGTACAAGACCACAAGTGAGTAACTGCAAACCCAATGATAACAAGGTCACAGTTGACACTAGTCGCATCCCAGGAGGTTCCACCGAGAGACGAGGATACGCCGAAGTATAACCAACTAATGAAAAAAGTCAATACATTTTTTTAAAAAGATAACCAGTAAACAATATTCATGAAATTACGGAGAATTACCATCGTATCATTTAAATAATTTAGGCTAGACCACTTGCATGAAAAACACTTTGCTTCATGAAACTTGACGTTTTGCATACAAACAAACGTTCTACACCAATCAGATCACATAAATGATTTTCTCGTTTTGCAACTATGTCTCAACTTGACACGGTTCTCTTTCAGTCTTCTTCGTGCTAATGTTACCTACCTGGTAGTCATGTAAAAGTATATCTGCTGTACATGTTTAATCGACTTCTCAGGACAATCGACAATCCAACATGAACAGCATTCAACAGTATTGCAGTATAGAGAAATTATGCCGTTGAAAGTAATTACATTCGTATTTACCACATGAACTTCAATGAGATCTATCACAACAGAGTAGTCGTTCTACCTGAACACTGACAATCATATACAATTTTTAAGTTCATGTTCAAATCCAATTGAATTTAGTGACGTGTCGATGAAAGATAATAATGTGGCTTGGATTAGCTCATGTTTCAAAAATAAAATGAACTCAACCGCGATAAGTAGACAGTGTCTGCTATTTAGAACATGAATATATTCCAGGGATTATTTTCGATAAGAGAGAAATTCTGCTGAACAAACCCAGTTGTAGTCGTGAATTTTCAATGATTTCCGAATGGATAGAGAGAAACTAAGGTGAAATTAAGGAAGCACAAATCAATCTGCTTATCCACATAAGGTGCGATAGTTCGAGTAAGGTCATCTATTCGTGAGGCTTTAAGTGAAATATCCAATTGTAGATCAGAATAAATTATCCGTCTGAAAAATCAATCAAGTGAATGTTGTCAGCATGATGAAAACAAGGATTGCAAGTAGACAAAAGTGAGTTCTCAGGTTCTCTGTTGTCTACATCTAAACATCCAACACAACAGATGAGGAGAATATTTGACCGAAATTTTCTATCGGTATGGGGTTGAGAAGATCGTTGAATGTTTTTCCATATCACGCTCGTGATCGAGTGTCCTGCGTTCGATTATTGGTTGCAGAATCATGAATGAGCACTGTTAAGGAGCCCCATACTAGAATGAAACGAACATCCAGTGTTCCTAGGTTTTCAACATTACCTCAATTTTCAACATTTCTTGCACAAGTGTTACCGACTTATTGAAGAATACGCCTGATATTATACATGTCCTCACATTCACGTAATACAGTAAAAATACATAGAAACATATCGACAAATTGTTTAAATTGAACTTTGAAATCCACCATGGTATTCATACACAAACACACAGTTTAAAGAATAATGGTAACAGTAAGTAACCCACTAAATATTTTCAGTTTTCTCCGACGGTTGAACAAACAAACAGAAAACCAATAAGATGGGTAGTGAAGAAAAACAAACAAATTCATCAAAGAAACCTTTGACATCCGAATTAAAGTTATCTATCAACCCAGACAGGATGAATACCAGAACACCGACATACACTAGTCAGTGAACAAATAAATACTTTCTCAACTTACACGTGATACCCAAAGTGGTGATGACAAAGAAGTCGATAAACATATATTGCAGGTCAGAAATATTACTGCCAATCTAGTGAGAAAGATGGAAAGAAACAAAAAATTGTATGAAAAGTACCACTACAACTACCAGCCAAAACAAAATGAACTAAGAAAACAAGTGCTAAATTTGGAATCGGGTTTTATTATTTTGCTTCGTTATCAAATTACATTACCTTTCGATAAATGAAACACTTCATGTACAATTACGATTCGTAGAAAGATGTTAATATTCTACTGAACATGATTAATACCTACTTAAAAAATTTGTCTTGATTTACATTCTAAAATGAGAATAAATGTGCAAATATAATGTATATTTAAGTATAATTCAGGCCCCCAAATGCCCTGGTACGGCCGAGAGTGAGGAGAGTCCACTCTCCCTCTCGAAATGCTCTCACATGGCCACGCGTATATAGCCTCTGCCAGGGAAGTCCTACTCACTGCTTTCTTGTGACACAGGTGTTGTTTACGAAAATGAGAGGACGAAAAGCGAATGTCCGGCGCTTTAACCGGATCCCAAATCAATGGTGCACATGGGTTCCAGTATCCTGACGGAACAAATGGAGTATGAACCAATCGTTGGTCACCGGCTACCATGGGACTGCATCTCCCTACGATGCCCCACTGCCTTGTGGATCAGATCTTCAGGTCGAAGGCTCGGGGTGGGGCTCCCTAAGAAAACCACCTGCTTCGACTAAGGCACCCGGGCAGTATCACAGCCCTCGCACAAACCAAATGAGATTTGTGTGGCGCATATGTATTTGGTGCCTTGTTGTACCAATATCTATGTGTTAAAATAATAAATAATTCAGGCACACGGTTGATGAGTTCATTCAGCACGTTAATCATGGTATGACCAGTCAAACACTGGGTTGGAAGGGAAGTGTATAATCATACAACAATCAAACTCAAGTCTTCTCGCTATTTGTCGTCAGTGTCAATCTATTTGAATTCGTCAAATGGATTCAAAACGTGTTCATAAAGGAATCAGTAGATGACAAAAGGGAAAGAATTTGACTGGTGGTTGAGAACCCTCCCTAGTAAGCACTATTAATACTATTATTACTACTACGATTGTATTCAAAACAACCGTTTATTCAACTCCCAGATAAGAACAATTGATCTTACACCAGCAATCATACTTTTTCCAATTCCAATGATGCATAGACAGCAGTTTATCGGTTAGAGCATTTGGCTTACAAGAAAGTAGTAGCTCGCTGGAATCCTACTCCATCACGTCAACTTAAGAACCCTGGTAGCATCACCGTCTCCTACACAAACAGTATATAAACTGTTTAGTGCGATTACCACCATAAATATACACAAAATAGGTTGAGTCTTTTGCATAGAAATGATCATTGGAGATAAACCGACATTGACTACGAGGAAACCTTGAATCGCACAACGCAAGTAAAAACACGAGGAAAGTAGATAAAGATTTATGATATAAGAACTGTCAAAGTCCTACTTAGCACTAATTAATCTATTAACATGATGTCTGAAAACCAAATACCGGTAAACAACAAGTAGAATTAATTTACTAAGTCATGAAATCGCTCATACTTAAAACATAATTACAAGTCGTTTACGACAGGAAAAAATAAATTAAACAGGTCAGTCGCATACCAATCAATATAATTCGTGTAAAACAAATCGATATACAACTGGGATCTTGAATTCACCTAGTAAGCAATCAGCGATTCAGCCAGCATAATCACATATTTACTAACTAAACTTCATTCCAGCCAAAACAGTCTGGTGATATTGATGTAATCATCGAAGCAAAGCAGATAAACAATCAAAATGAGCAATCATCTGTTTGCTCATTTATAACTACGAAAATACTATTCAAATGTGGTTATGTAAATAAATAAATAGAGATTTCAAACATAGATCAAGTGTGTAGATTTTTAGTTTAAATATTTCCATATTATAACCGATGCAGGAAACTGAAATACATAATAGAGCTCCTCTTATTGTTTACTTCTCTTAATAATGTGATTTTACCAGGAAAAAAACCACATTTTGTTTTGCAACTTTTATGTATCCACTCTTCCCATTGTTTAATTGTCCAATTCACTCTCACTAATGACAAAGAAATTCTACTATTTCTACTACGAAGGAACACGAATGACAATAAATTAATTGATGAGATTATAATTTATGGACGACCTTTGAGTAACACTAATGTGACCTTGAGAATGTCCATCTACTTAATAGAGCTAAATGAGGGTTATCCAACAAATTGAAGAATGAGGATTATGATTTACAATTGATGGTTAGGATTAGGAATTCGATTTAGGGTTTTCATCACGAACTGACATCCGCTATAATGCCAAAACGCTGTTTAGCCAAACGGATGGAAAATTTCGCGCCAAGATTCAAAACTTGTTATCCCAAATCCGATAGGTTCGTCCATAGATTATAGTTTCATCAAGTAATTTCAATTACTACACAAAAGTATTTGACGTGGAATCACAAAACCAGATTAAAAAACAGTAATATCTATTATATACCAATAACAATTGTTGAACCAGACTAACATTTATTAAAAAAGCATATTCTTCGTTTTGTGTTTAAACTAAAGAAAGTAAAGAGAAATACCAAAACCAAACTTACATAATATAGAAGTATAACAGAGAAAAATTGAATCATTGAATAACCAACCATAAATTTAAATACACCAAAACTGGTAGTCAACGCGCAACGACCTTCACGAATAAGTGTGGGCACACAAGTAATATTTTGTTGCTTCGACGTGAAAGGACTGGCAACACTAGCTTCAGCTTCGCTTAATGCAATTCCAGCATGTGCTACTTTCAATGCACCACAATCGTTAGCGCCATCACCACACATTGAAACAAAATAACCAACTGATTGAAGTGATTCAATCAGTTGAGCTTTTTGTTCCGGACGAAAACGAGCAAACACGGTACCTTTGACTACAAGCTGAGAAACACACACACACAGAGAAAGGAAAAGAGAGAGAGAGAGGAAAAGTAATTAGAAGCTAATCTAAACACAACAATGCTGTTAAAATTGAAATGCTCACGGTTCGAAACCAAAAATATATTTAAAGGTTGATAAATCTTTAAAGAAACATGAAATGGTATGCAGAAAAGTGTAGTAAAAGACTATCATTTGACTTCTTCTCCTGGCCTTACCAAGCATTCGGTAGTACAGATCACCTTTCAGAAATACGTGTTGAGATCAGATCAGTTTAGAACAAACAAAATAGGTCTGAAAATCGTGAGACTAATGAAATACAACGACGTTTCGCCTATCCAAATTTTGCTGAAAAATACTTATTTAGTTAGTACTGTTGAAAAAATACTGTGTATTACATTGACGTAAATGTAATTATGTACACACTGTAAGATGTGTGGATATCAAATTGAAAATTGGGTGCGTTTTCCATTTCAGTAAAACAGCATAAAACTTGTTTATGCCACAACACTATGTTATCACACTGTTTTGACTGTACATTGAATGTATTTTGTATAAGAAAGTACGCAAAATTAAAGATCAAGCAATCAAGTATGTTACAATAATGAAGTGTTTCAAACAACGAACGTCTAAACATCGTCTGGTGACAAGTACACATACATACATTATTTTGAACTTTAGCATACATTTTGGCAATACTTTGATAAATGTATCCCTTATACAATAAAAATTATATCATAATGGATAACAATATGTCCATTATTGGTTTAATATCATTCCTTATCAACCCACATAATGCTTGAGTTACATAAAACACATCTGCTGTGTGAATAATACATTTCTCTACACAAATGATAGGAGGTTTGAACATAACACCTAACTAACGATCACTAAGCAATACGAGTTCACCTCAGTGAATTAGTCGAAGGATCATGTCCATTTTAAAACTATCTTCGATATACATTGATAATCCCATTATTACTCACCTTTGGTATAAGCCAGGGATAATATTCTCGTATGATAGCCCATGTTTTACCAGACATAGCCAGGTGGAAATCAGGTCGATCGAGCATCTTTATAGATACAGAATGAGTGGGATTCAAACGACGATTTGATACCGAATGCAGATCATCTTTCAAATAACATCCACTGTTTCCTATTCCATAGTGGTGACGTTGTCGTTGATCGGATGAAGAAGAATGAAGTTGACCATTCACTGAAACATTGGGCACCGAAGTTATATCTGTCAGTGGACTTGAAGACGGTGAGGAATGCTGTTCACATCCCCGTGAACTGGACGAAAATCAAATTAAAACAAACAAATACACACAAACGATAATCGTGGAATTTAACAGATTTACAAGTATTCCTCAAAAAAACAATTAATGGACAGTGAGACATTTGAGTTGTGAATAGCTTCAGATCACTGCGGTCACACTGTAGTGAAGCAGAACACTGATGAGGACAACCGAATTGTATATGTCTCAAATTACAGAGTTAATTGGTAAAATAGAAAAACCATATATTAAATCGTTAATTTGCAAAATATCAATCCTTCAAATCAAACTGAACTGTTCCTGTTGCAAATATCAATCCATTAACTGACATTTCATTGTTCATGAGTTTTCATACAAATTACATTGTGTTCCCGCCCTTCCTCTCTTGATTTTCCCCCATCTTATGCTGCCAGACATTACGTTTAAAAGTCGCGTTATATACTACTTATTATATCAATATAAGAAGCGCACCACAACACAAGAACACCAGGGAAACTTTATTTGATGAATTGCTAACTCGGTTTACATATTGTCAGTAAACGTAATTCAAGAAGCTGGTTAGTCGAATAATGATTAACGTACTCAGCATACAGTTTGTGGCAAACATTAACGAAGTAATGTGCAACGGAATTAGAACTGGCCACCTAATACATCAAACTGGAATCTCTTAATCATGAATTCATCGTTTCGGGGGAGACATCATTCATGCAAACCTATAGTACTCAACAGTCAGGATGTTTATATCATAACGTCTTGCCTCTAGTTACTTAAATTCGAACTATCATACAGTGGTGAACGGAAATCCGCGCGATGACTCCAATGACTTCTGATCACATAACTTCTAGTAATTTCAAGAACATCTAAACAATAAATCCTTATTTACTATGTTGTAGATGTCACACGATCCAGATTAGTTCAAGGTTGAGTAAACACTTCTGAAATTAGTGATTGAATTATCATCGTTACTTGCGAACTGCTCTGTTTTTCAACTAACTTTTAACAGTATCTGTGAACGCATAATTGTATAATACAAACAACTTACATATCGAAATATGGCTTGAAACATAGGAAAGTAAGTAATCGTATGGTTGACTACGTACTCCATACACATAGTCAAAAACTAAATACAGATCAAAATTTAGAACATCCCAACTGATTCAAGATGTTATTCATGAATAATCCAGGTGCTGAGTTGTCAGCATACAACTTGAAGTTCAGAGATTTTAAGGTACAAGTAAGGTAGAGATAGGATCTGGTTGTCAATGTTGGTCAACAAAAGCAATAACATTTACTCAGGCTGTTCAGTCGTATTTGTAGTTGTTTGGTAAATATATAAGTCTATAGGAAGATGGAAAAATTACCTCCTAAATGGTTCAAGGTCTACATTAATTAAGAGGCAAATATAAAGCAGATACATAGATAAGGAATACACAGTAGAATGATCACTGATGACGTCGTTCCTAGAGGGTTTTCTAAACAGTCTAGATGAAAGCGATTACATTTACATAATGGGAAAATAAATATTGGTTTAGTAGCAGATTTTCACAAACGAATTCATATGAACTTACACACATGGAACATCTTCACATAAGCGATGCATCAGTTTTCGAGATTTCCTACCACTCCTTACAGAGAACGTGTGCGGATCAACATCAGTTTCAGTCGAAGTATTATTAACAGGCTGAGGTCTATGAGATTTTCTCGTTGTTCCTGTTTCAGTTGTAGCTGTCACTTCAGTGACTGGTTTGTGTAAATCTTCAGCATAATGAAATTCAACTAATGAATCGTATTGTTGATTGAAGAAGTTTTCCTCAAATACACAATTTGCTGCATTAAAACTTGAATGTGTACGTGGTCTATTGTTGCTTCTTGTTCCTTGTGACTGTGTCAACGAAACAAATGGTAAACTAATATGATTCGAAGAAGTATGACTGTGTTGTTGATCACTTGGTAGATCAACTTTGGTAGAACAAGTCACAGAATCATTCGGACTAGATGACTGAACATGAGGAGGAAATGGTGGTGGTTTTGCAGACACAAGAATAATACGATCCAGTTCATCGATCATCTCGCAATCTCGAGCTACTGACAATGCAGTCAACATATTATCACCTAAGTAAGAAGGTTGAATGATGAGCAACAACACATTTTGTCAATTGATATTACTAACAAACATAAACTGTAATTAACAAGAATTATTAATTTACGAAGTTCAATTGAGTCACAAAAATTGAAAGAAAATCACGCAAACTATTTCAATTTAATATGCATTACAATCCTCCACCATAATGATATCATGGTTAACTGGAATTATTGGAATAAGACAATCAAAAAAGCACCACATTAGAGAGACACTGCTCACTAAATATGGGCTTAGACAGATAACAGACTCAAGCGTGTAGCTTATTAGTTTGACCGTGACAGACTAATTCGATATCCAAGGGTTAAGGTTCAGATATAAAATAATAATAATAATAATAATAATAATAATAATAATAATAATAATATACTTTGAAGGTGACCAGTACATTTATACAGATTCAGAATATTACAATTTCAGGCTCAACGTCTATCTATGTAGACTGATGTTAGTAACTATTAGAGAAAACAATCTAAAAGATCACCTCCAAGAGAAATCACATTGAAAACAATCACATCAATGAGAAAGAAACATACCAGTCACCATTACAGGTCGAATATTGGCATATCTTAAAGTTTTAATCACTTGAGTTGTTTCCGGTTTCAAACGGTTCTCCATGATCAGTAGACCAAGAAATCGTAAATTCTGTTCAACACACTCCCTAGATACGTGCAAAACTTTTGTATAGGTTGCTTTCAATGGTTTCCAAGCTAACGCTAAAACTCGATAACCTTCACGTGTGTATTCCAACAGAGTAGAATGGAAATCTCTAGGAACTAAAGAACAGAAGAAAACAATAACTGAAGTTCCTAACAAACACAACTGATATACAACTTTATCAGGGAGTAATCTGAAAGCAACATCAGTTGAACCCGTTGACATTTATTTGAATAAAACACTGTATTTTAATATAAGGATTAACAGAGAATCAAAGTTACCAATAAACGCCCGTATAAACCAGATATTTGTCCGATGAAGAGAAAAAACTTTTAACGTTTTGGTTTTAGTTGACATTTTATTCCAGTTCCAATGTTTCGCTAATGACTGTACATTTACGAAAAATGACAATGTAACGAAATATATTTGTCTTTATAGTAAGAGTAAAGTATAGAAACAAATCAACGTTACCCTTAAATTTTAACCCAAAACTATTAATCCTGAACTAAATCCTAACCTGGTGACAACGTGTTTTATGGACGAACTATTCGGACTATACCTTGTACAGAGAATTGTTGCATCATAGTTAATGTAAGTTTGTGGTAAAAATCCTAATTCTAAACCTCCAATCCTTACCCTAATTACTTAATCTTGACCAACATCGAAGAAAGGACTCATTAAAGTCTTTTTAGTTCCCTATGAAGGTTTAGAGAAAACGAAGAACTTGTGTCTATAAGGATGAGTTTTTATATCGTTGCTTTCTCAATTAACAAGCATATTAACATGGAAAGGAATTCAATAAATTCAATAATTATGTAAGATTCGTTTACAATTTGTAATATTATTGCCTTTTATTCTTCGCTGTTGTTTTAGTCTGTTCCCTATACTTTAATCTCGGCTAAAACTTATAAACAATACACCAAATGAAGAGAATATTGAAACTCTTCTAATTAAATAATCTAAGAAACAAGGAAAATTAACAGCACAGTAGCTATACAAGTTGAAATAGCAATAACAATAACAACAAAAGTACAAGGCCTAGAAAAAACGCAAAAATATAGTAAAGAATCTTCAGAATTTCAAAAGATATTGGCAACACTATATTAATAAAAACATATAATAAACTTTTTCATAGAATGAAAGAATTCCGGACTCAAATGGAAAGTTTAATTAAGAAAAGAAAAATATTTTAATCAGGCAAAACGGAGGTCATCGGAGAGAAATAGACAATTATTTTAGTACCAGATAATGTGGTAAACAGAATTATGTATCTATTTTTTTCTTGAAAAGAAAACTCTGAAGTATGCATTTATTCTGCATACAACTTACCAAAATTAAATAAAAAATTTCAATTCATTCAAATCAATAACCACTGAAGCTTAGGGTAAATACCACCAGGCCAGGTGTATGCTTCATTCAAACAGAAACTAAGTTCTATTTCATTATTCCATGAAAGAATTTTCAGGCGCATAGGCCTGCTTTGAGCACTCAAATTTGTCCAAAGTAGAGATGCCGTCCGTTCTCGACACCCGTTTAAAGGCATCCGGAAGCATGTCGACAGGTCACTACACCGAGCAAAACACCGATCCTGATCGTACCCAAAACCGTGAACAAGCAACGGCATGCGACCGCACGACCCAGATCCAACTACGAGCATTTTAACTGAAGCAACTACAATATACTATTTTGGACCTAGAGTTACCGCGGCTGTTGGCACCAGATCAATATACAAGCAAAACTAGACAAATAAACCAATCATTTGATTGAGCAAGAAAACGATCCTAATTACTGGAGGAAATTGTAAGTCTGAACAGTGTGTCTGAGTGTCGTTTAACTAAGTGTAGCGACTACACTAAATAGTGAGAGTTACAAACAACCAACCGACAAATGTATTACATCGATCTTGTACGACGTCAATCAGAATGTAACTATTTCATATGCAAAATGTATAACTATGTTTGTGCACAATTAGAATTTCTAACTAAATGAAACACTGCTGAACAAACAAACATTCCGCATAGAAATAAAAATTCCATTCAGTTCAGTAATTGTTTCAAAATGTATAATACAAATATTTTGCTTCAGCATTGGCCTGCGTCAATTTTTAATCTGATCACAGACGGTCAAGTCGTAGAGTGTGTCCCGACGATTTCATTTATCGAAGGATATCATCTATCTTCGTGGGTTGGCGTCTAACGAAATTTGAGAGCGAAATCAAAAAGGTCAGTTGGCTTTTATCACCAAGTGTCGCCTGTGGCGTAAGTGATAGGTCAGTCTTTGACAAGAAAAGAGTATAGTGAGCACTGGCTTGTTTCGCGGTATTTAATGGCTATGAAACGTGGCTACTCAAAGAGGATGTCCTACAGGTTACTAGTATTTGATTATAGATCTCTTCGAATCATGGTTTATTTATTTTACGACAACCGAGCGAACGATGCAATAGTTACGTACTGGGTAATCAATGAACGTTTATCGACCAAGGTAGTTGTAACATGTCTTAAGCCGCAAAACAACCCCCTACTTCGATGTAAGATTTCGGGTAGTATAACCAGCGGCTGTCAAATCGACAAGTACGATCAGTCCACGAAGTCACTGACTGTTGGTCTCAGACACGTTGGTAGGTGCATACAACCTGGTCGGCACAATCAGTGGTTAAGGATGCTAGGTGGAATGACTCCGAATCGCTTATAAAGGTCAACATACATTCAATTGCTTATTTACTTTTACAACTTCAGCTCTAAAACGAATTCAAGAAACTTTCTTGAACAATATTGTACATAATGTTAATACCACTTTGGTATACATGTTTATCATTTCGTCTCAGAGTGTTAAAATGGTGTAGGAACTTGTGTTGATATATGTTTGTGATAGGTTTAACGTTGCATATAACTGACCGATTGTATTAACATTAGAAAAAATTATTATTGACAATCTTCACATTTTACTTACTAGTATCACATCTGCACAATAATTCAATAGTTTCAGGTGCACCTTTAGTATAGATGTTGAAATGATTTTGATTGAGAGCACGAGTAATCACAGACATACGTTGTAATGAAGAACTGAATGGAAATTGACGTAAGATACCCACTTCATATGGAATGTCCTACAAGTGTGTGTAATCAGGATATTCGATTTCAATAAAAAGCATTTTTATAAAACAGAGAAAAGAAAGAAATCGTAATTTACTCAGCTGGCCTGCAAGCTCAAACTCTAAAAGTATTATAATCTATTGGAATAAGCTACCTATCCATCTATGCTTTCCGAACACTATAAATGTTGTTTACCAAAATCATCCGCGTTGCATTCAGATATTCATTATGTTAAGAAATTTGATACCGTAAGTCCATAAGTGCAAGTAGTGACCATGATACTTAATTCCAATAAGTTTTAGGATGCCGAAACATAACAACAGTACTTGAAAATAGGTTTGATCACTAAAGAGCTTAACCATGAAAACGTATAAACGACTATTTTGTGAATACCTGTGCAAACTATGTCAAACCAGATACCTTAGTAGCAACAATTGACGTTCACTTATAGCTTAACATAGTGAAATAAAACATGATTGGAAATCTTTCTTAATAGAGGTGAAGGCTTACATAACGCTACAGAAATCAAGCCCTATATCGGTTTCTTATTTACAGCTACACTTAGTCAATGGATATAGGAACGTAAATGTAGGTGGCTTTGTAAGCCAATCGGTTAAATGGACTACAGCGAAAAATAGCTATCGTCGACACCCTTCCTCAAAAAATATAACATAAATGAGCACCGTTACTACTCTATGAGTTATATCATACGAATTGAGATTAAGAAGTTTTCTCTCCTGGAATCTTTAGTTTGTACATATCCCCAACAGGCTCTCATGCAGTTTTATTTATTCAGTTTATTCTGATGATATTTCTAATACACTAAGCTCTCTTGTTTCCCAGTAACATTCAAAGTGTACGTAAACAACGATCATAAGAATTCATTACCATCTCGTTGCAAAGAAGAGTAAAGTATTCCACATTCAGGCCTTCTTTATTTTTATGGTTTGGGACTTAACTGCAAGAAAAATATTCACGGTTAACTTTTCCTAGCATCACTAAAAGTTTCATTTAGTCTGACTTTGGGAAATTTCAAAAACTTACTCCAGAGTGAAGGCGTATCGCGAAATTGAATTACTGAACTGACAATAAACGACAAGACAGTTCAGTAGGACAAGACAACATAGACCAGAGCAGTTGCTATGTCCAGCACAAAAATCAACACTAAACCACACTCTATCATCAGAACATACGTCGACCCTCTCAGGTTGGAATAATTGGTATTTTATATCAAGTGTACAAGAAACGGTAGTGTAAAGACACCAACCTAACTACACGACATAACTTACATCACCATTGAATTTTTGAGAAGTCTTTTCCGTCAAACTGGTTTTACTCGATGGACGTACGATAGCAGGGACAGCCATTTCAAATTTACAGTGATCAGCAGCTTCTTCAATAAGTTCCTGACAAAAACAACACAAAACGAAAACGCGATCGACAAGCAATTTGTTTACGTCAATAAACATGTTGTTGGAGACCTACACACATACACATACATCCTCTAAATAAACTTCTGTGATATTTTGGAAAATACGCCTCAATGTACCCAAATTTGTATTTTATCTAAATATATTTGATAACTGTCAGAAATAAAATCCGGAAATTCGGTCTTATACAGTTTGAGGATCATTCTGTTGTATGTGGATCTACCACAATGCTTAACAGGTCAAGGTTGTCGAATCTCCTTGCTTCAAGAATTTTCTAGGCAAACTGATTTTGACTAACGTCCTGGCAAACACTCAAAAGATGGCTGAAACCATCGGTGGGGTCACAGTCAACTACGTTCAAAGCCGACCACTTTCCAAACCCTCATTCTATCAGCGGGAACGCACAATCAGAACCTTCGTGCCTGTGACAAAAATATCTTGTACGTTAGTTCACATGTTATGATGTGCAAATCTGACAACAACCTCAAAGTAACTACGACATTTAGGTTTCAGAGAAGTAAGAATTGTGAGTAGAAAAAAAACTAGAACCATCTACAATCCTTACCCATTTAGTTGACTGGAACATCTTTAAGTCCAGAGGATCTCCAGACAGAACGCCTTCAATCAATGTCAATGAATGACAAGTCGCTAAACATTCCATTAGAGGGCCATTATCCAACTCTGATGGTTCTAATTCCGGATCTCCAAATAAACCATCTTCATAAGGAATAATACCCCACATATCCAAACCATCTTCTGTTAAAGTACCCGTCTATGAAGAAACATGAAATAAAGGTAAAGATGTATAGTCCATTTAGATCTCAAACCTTATTACTGAATAACTTAATACTTGATACTGACTTTCTAACCGCTACCCACTCAACAAGAATTTCTTTCACTTGAACCTCAAACACAAAAAAGCAGTCGGAAAGTATCAAAAGAACCTCTAGTTTCAAGGTTGGTCCACGTGCAGAAAATAGATGTAACTACAGGTTTATAGATGACCTTGATGTTCTCGAAGCATGTTTAACTTTGTGTGGTGACATAATCAGTAATTATCTAGGCAGGATAAAACACATCATAAGTCGTGCTTCTAAAATCCTCGTGAATGTTTCTATTGAACGTCGGAAGGACAAAGTGTGTTGAGACGTTTACTAACTTCTAAGGGAATTTCGGAAGAATTACTGACGTTCTCCAACAAACACAATCGAGGAAAATTACATTAGCTTGTAACATCTAAAGGAAAAACACGATATCCAACAATTAACAGAGATAAGTAGAAAATCAATATTTATTCTGATCCAATCCGAAATTCGAAAGGTAAACACAATCATTATTAGTAAGCAACATGAAAACAACTTATAAAACACTAGTGATATGCAAAATGAGTAGATGGATTGTTTTCATGAAACACTAAGCCACAAAAAATATCTAAGTCATATATAATTACCTAATTACCGAATGGGACTTTTCACATTTCATCCACCCATATATAAACAAAAGTGCAGAAGAAAATAAATATTGTTGGAATTAATACACAGTTTGCATTATTGGCCACCCAATAATTTGAATATTCAATACATTTGAGACTTAGAAAATTGGTAGATTTTCAGTCCGTTATGAAATACATGGATGTAAATAGTCAACTATTTTATTTATACGATATACAACTCATTAAATAATTCACCTTGCGAACTTGGTATAAGTTTGCACTGTTTTCAAATATATACACACCGAAAAAAACAAAGTATAGAATTTTAACCAGAAAATATATGTATTTCAAAAACACTGCAACAGTATGAGGTGGATGTGAGTGCGATCATGGAGGCTATTTTAAGCTGAGTGGATAACAACTACATTTGTAGTAGTCTATATACTTTATTACATGTCAAAATGCTAGTTGGCGAAATCGTGGAATGAAGTAATATTACCATTTGAAATTAGACCTATTTAAGGTTCTGTTATAACGTGTGATCCGCCTATTAGAGAGCAGCGTATTATCGATCGAAACACTGACGCAAGCGAGCAGCCTAGACTCCTGATTGGCCCTGTTTCCGTGTCTAGCCCAGCCAATTGAATCCAGAACACAAGTCTCAGCCTCGGAGATATGAATCATTGTATTTCAAACATACTCTGTTTATATAGCAATCAAACAGACCACAACGTACCATAAAATAGAAAATAACATTTGTACAAGATTTAACCTTCAGGAAATGACACAAATAAATATTGACCAATAGGGAAATGACACATTGGAAGAATGTTGACCAATGGGGAAATGACACTATTCCTCATTCAGGAATAGCACCAGATTATTTCTGTGGTATTTTCTGAATGCCCCAACACCTCCCCTTTTTTGAAGATCCGGACCTGATGTCCGGAATATAAGTTTCCCGGGTCCATCCTCCCTCACGAAATAATGTTGGTTCCTCATATACCCAATTTACAATTAATTTGACTGTATTTAAAACATTTTGAACAGGGGATCCAGTAAGACTGACCAGATAGTGAGGATAAACGCCATTTAGTTCGAAATCATCGGAGTTCGAATCTTTAGTAGATAATGGATCACTATGATAATCAGCATTCAACAAAACTGCACCAGGTTCTTGATTATCTTTTGATGCACCCGACAAATTTTTCTCATTTTTGTAAGAAATTTGATCGAAGGCATGTGAATCATTTAGATAACTCATACCTGATAGAACAACTAGAGAACCGCGATAAGTAGATTGATCATATGCTTTTGTCGTAGAATGATGAGCTGCATTTGGTGTATCTGTCTTAATTATGCTGGTTGATTTATTTTCTGTTTGTCCGTGGGCGGCTACTGTAGTAATTCCATCAGCATTTAATAAGACGTCGATTTCTTGTGAGCTGGACGAGTCAGTGTTTGTACATGGTGCTTCAGGAGCAATAGGATTTGAACACACGACAGGGCGTGTCTCTGAAATGGACATTTCTGGATCACTGGGAGGGACATGAATGACTGCCGTTTCGTTTAAATTATGGTTTGCTGAGGATTCATAGAGGCTTTTATCAACACATTCATATGTACCACAGTCAATTTCCAGCTCGGTATGCAAATTAGAAATTAATTTATCGGCTTTCCGAGAACTGCAACAGAGCCTCCGGAGGCCCTGAAGGAGCCAAAGAGTCTTAGCCAATCAGAGCACGATGGAGCTTTCTAGAATGCCAACGTGGCGTGCTACTATTGGTCAGTAGCATGTCTTTTAGCGGATTGGCCAAAATATGATGTTGATTCAACAAATGTTAACATCTATAAATACCCATGTTTTTCTGTACAAAAATGAACCTTGGAGTAAAGTACTTTTCGCATACTTTGTGCTTTCTCTCTCGTGTTCAAGTCACTGTATAGTTCTAGCTTGGGGTTTTCAAGAATAGCTTAGGAATCGAGTATAGCATTCAAATCGCAAGACTTATCAGGTTCGTTAAGTCCTATTCAAATGAACTCCGTCCAGTTTTCTTTCTAAGCAAATCGGCAAATAAACCACTCAAAGTTATTGAAACTACATAGAAAGAGGTACATTCGATCAGTAACATGTTCAACGAAAGAAGCTACCGAAATAGGGAATACATTATTTAATTCACGAATATTTCTAATAACTTTGCCTTCTTCTTATAACGTCACGTAATTCTTGTTTTTGAAAGGAATGAAATTACAAGTTCACTCAGTCAAACTACCAGTAATATATAGAAAAATCTTTTAGAAAAACACTAGACTTCAGAGTAAATTCGTTATATGACAACTAAAACATACTAATAGACTGTGCTATACCACACAAAGTTTCAACCTGTAACACAATACTTTGAAATTCTAGCTGAACAACTTGTTTACAGTACATGAACAGTATTGGTGTTTACAAGGAGTACAGTTACGACACAATCATGTTGATAGTAAACTGTGATTTACTGATTTGTACGTTAAACATTAATCCCCCTTATCTCCAACCCATAAAAACCAAATAACATCATCTGCCATCAGTTATTTCCGTAATCAGTAGTCTACCAGAAGAGTCTGAATATTGTTATTTGGAAAAACATTTATTTAGCGGATGACATTAACATAACTACATCAAACACAAATATGAATCGGCCCAACTTTCTACACCGCAACGGCATAGAGATTAAATTATCAAGGTGAAGCCCGGAGTGGTTGTAATATCGGCGATGGTAAAAGTATTAGGTATAGACAATACGACTCAAAAATAATTACGGAATTCCTACAATAAAAGTGAAATAACAAAACTCCTAAGCTTGGTATGAAATAATATCTTTATTATGTGTAGTAACAATACTTTCTAACCGATGAGACAGATGTTATATCTCGAAGGTTGATTACTTGATATAACGCGTATAACTGAACACAAGAACGCCAAAACCCTTCCAAGTCGCAAGGAGAAGACAGAAGACTAGTGAAAGGAATGTTATTCCAAACAGTGTCAATTATGGGTAAAAATTGTCAGGTATTTATAGTTTTTAGTAAGAACAAAAATCATCATTATAGTCCTCCAATCTGCATACAGGGGGTTATTAGCCTTGTCTAATCGGGAAGCTACACGTAGGAATCCTAGAATATTCTTCCTAACAGTGATTGGATGGAATATCTTCGGCTCCTTCAGAGCCTCTTATAGCTTCCTCGAGTTTACCCGTGGTCCGTCGTCACAATAGATTTAGCCTAACAATTGAATCAAAATGCACTGAGGAGATAGTTATAGCAAGAACATCATATGTTGTGGTTGTCAATCTAGCAAACCCCTTATCTTCAGAGTATTCACAAACAAACTTAAATGGGTTCATTCTTAAAGGTACATACAATCAGACAAAATAGTCACTCATATTTAACTCTATAAAGGCAGGTCAGAAATAATAATAATAGTAATAATAATAATAATAATATTAATAATAATAATAATAATAATAATAATAATAATAATAATAATAATAATAAGCAGCCGAAATTAGCGAGAAAATCTTACTTTATCAAAACAAGCTACATTGATAACTCCACAAACATTGATCACGGTTGAATTGACACAAAATATTCCATGCGATAGTAAGCGTCGTTGAGCCAGAACAACGCCTATTGTCATTACAACAGGTAAGGCTGGTGGTACCACAACAGTAACTAAATCTAACGCTCGACGGATAATATCACCAACACCAACATTAACTCTGATCTAAAAGAGAAATTTCAATCAGTTGAATAAAAAAAAGAATAAACTAATTATCTCCAGTGAGTGCTTACGAAATATTATTCGCAGGACATTTGCTTTTCATTCTCTCGATTACATAAATGACAACCCCGGCACGAAAAGGTAGTGAGTGGGACTTCTCTAGCAGTGGTTGTTAGCACGTAGCCATGTAAGAGCGTTTCGAGGAGAGCGGACTTTCCCCACCGTCGGCCGTACCAGGGCATTTGGGGGCATTCTCATTCAAACAGAATATAGATTGGGAGCTTTCCAGTTAGAAAACGATAAATATAATTATTGCTTCTCTATTTAAGATTCTTGTTAACGCTTGTCTGAATAGTTACCGTGTTTCGAACTCTATCTGAGCATATCAAGAGGTCTTTATCAGTATAACATTTTTCTCACAAGGAACAACTTGTTTCGTAAATGATATATGACTGGCTCAAATGTCAGTGGACGTAACCATGTTAATGGGTACAGACTGGTGATTAAGTATCCTTCCACAACGTGCGTGACTGGGTATTATGAATAATGCACTCAAATTCATCTTAATTACTGTCAACCCACATCCACTTTTAGATTCAGTTTTGTTCATGCTATCAATCATTCATATTCAGCTTAATTTTCTCCCATATGAATAATGATTCAAGCTTACAAAGCGTTATGCCTCCTGAAACTTGACTCCAAACTGCGTGTTAAAATTCGATTTCCGAAGCATGTGTTTAGTAGTACGACAGACCTCAATATTTATACTTATGATGCTCTTCAACTAATTAGTGAATAATCATGAAGATAAGTGGAAAAGTTTGACTTTAGTGTAGAAGGCATGTGTAAATAGTTCATCATGTTTTAGTGTGGCGCATATATATTTGGTGCCCCCTTGTACCAATATTTATGTGTTCAAATAATAATAATAAGAAGAAGAAGAAGACATGTGTACGTAACTAGTAGTTGATTGTAGGTATGTTTGAGGCATTGTTTGTATATGGTAGGACGTTAACTGAAAATCACTTACGTTAAACGTAGAGGAATTGGTAAAGCTAGTAAAATGATTTAGGTTGTGAATTTCCAGAGTTACTTATTTAGGAGACGGTTTACGTGTTCTCAGCAATCCCCTACCTCGCTGTACATTACTGACTGGTGAAGCGGTGGTTTCGAACAAGGCTTAGGGTCACCCGAAGAAAATACGACATTGATTTGGGTTGTTTCAGGATTTTCAGTCTTCTCCTTATGGATCCATGCGAAAATAGTAATCTTTGGTCAAAGAGCGATTGGTTACAAGTCTCAATTGAATATACATTCTTTCTCTATCTTGGTAGGGATACCTCAGGCCACCTGGTTTTTGTCAGTAAATGTCGAATTCCTTCATGTTATGGTAACCACAATGAAATTTCCTCTAATTTTTACTTCTAAACGATCATTGCTTTTCTCTGACTAATCACTACCACTCTAAGTTTACTTATTTTCCTGTGTCTTAAGGTCGTGTCTTGTTGTTATATTCATCACACAGTTCCAATTTAGATTTGAATTCGTTAAATATCAGGCATTTTCTCCACCTGTGTGTTCTTTCCTTGACCTTCCTCTTTTTCGTTTCCCTTCAGGATTCCAAGTTAGTGCTTGCTTCGTGATGCAGTTTAATGGTTTCTTCAATATTTGTACTATCTACTCCCAGAGTCTTTTCCTAATTCCCTCCTCAACTAGAAGTTGGTTTGTTTTCTGACACAGTAGGATGTTGCTGATGGCATTCGACCAACGGACATGCAGTATCTTATGTGGACAATTGTTTATAAATACTTGTACATTTTTGATGATGATTGTGGTAGTTCTCCAAGTTTCAGCTCCGTACAATGCAACTGTCTTGACGTTCGTATTGAAGATTCTGGCTTTGATATTGGTTGGCAGTTGCTTCGAGTTCCAGATGTTTTTCAGCTCTAGGAATGTTAGCCTTGCTTTGCCGATCATTGCCTTCATATCTGCATTAGATCTTCCTTGCTTATCAATGATGCTGGTCAGGTACGTGAACATTTCCACCTGCTCCAGAGCTTCTCCATCAAATGTGATTTGGTTGCTGCACTCTGTGTTGTATTTCAGGATCTTGATTCTTCCCTTGTGTATGTTGAGGCCTACTGAAGTAGAGACTGCTGCTATACTGACCGTTCTCACCTGCATTTGTCTCTGTATATGTGATAGAAGGGCTAGGTCATCTGCGAAGTTCAAATCGTCTAACTGCATACAAGCTATCCATAGTATTCCGTGCTTACCCTGAGATATGTAGGTCCTCATGATCCGGTCGACCGCCAGAAGAAGGAGGAAGGGCGGAAGTAATCAGTTCTGTCTGACTCCGGTCCTCACTTGAAATGCGTCTGTCAGCCGCCCTCCATGTACGACTTTGAAGTGTAGCCTGTCGTATGAATTCCAGATGATGTTGACGATCTCCTCGGGTACACTATAATGGAGAATCAAGTTCCATAAGGTTCACCTATCTACATTGTCAAACGCTTTCTCATAGTCAAGGAAGTTGATGTGTAGTGACAAGTTCCATTCAATTGATTGCTCAACAATAATATAAAGTGTAGCGATTTGGTCTGTGCACAACCAATGTTTACGGAATCCAACCTGTTGATCTCGAATTTGGGCGTCTACTGAGTCATTCATCCGGTTCAACAACACTGCTGAAAACCTTTCCTGGTACTGACAGTAGTGTAATGCCTCTGTAGTTTTCACATTTGCTCAGATCTCCTTTCATTGGTATGTTGATGAGGTATTCTTCTCTCCACTCTGCCGACACTATTCCTCTTCTCAAATCTTTCTGAATAGAACGTGGAGCATCTTTGCAGTTACTTTTAAATCTAAATTCATTGCCTCGGCTGGGTTCGTGGGCTAATATAGTGCTCACGATAATCATTCTGTTGAAGACACATAAATTTGCGAATCTCTCGCCATTCACGTTCGTTACTCCCAGTTCATGTTGTCTTATGATATCTTCATATCCGGTGTTGCCCATTCCGACTCTCGCGTTTAGGTTATCCACCAGGATGCTCAGGTCCTTTCCTGGTCACTTCTCTGAGAATGACTCCAGACTCTCAGAAAACCGACTTTTATTGCCTTATTCGCTTTCACCGATGGGCATATAGCACTGGATAACGTTCGCTGTTATCCCCACCTTCTTCGTTTTCAAAGAGGCTCTGATGATGTCAGACCCGTGCGATTCCTATCATATAAATGTTTTTTATACCTCTTCGGACAGCACTAGTGCAAGTTGTTGTATGTGCGAAGAATTTTCTTCTTGATGACTACAGTACAACAGCATCTCTCACGAATCTATCCTCTTTTATCCAGCTTGCATCTAATGGGTTTCACTTATTTCCAGAACCGCCAAGTTGTATCTCCTCATTTCCGCAGCTATTTGACTGGGTCTTCCAGTCCCTCATATTATCCGGACATTCCATGTACCGATATTAATTGTTGCTCTGGTTGTCAGAAGAGGCATCAGACTAGTGATTTCCGAAGAATTTCGGTTTTTATCATAAGGTGTCATGATTCTTCTAAATGAAGATCATATAACTCCCAGGGAAGAGTTTACATGGTCTAAATGATTAATAATAAACATATTTTTGTTATATCCCAATGAGTAGAAAAATTGTATTTCTGATGTTTCGTGACTTGATTTGGCTTACATCAAACCACAAAACGTCAAGAATACAACTATTCCACTCATGTGGACATAACAAAATATATATCACTAACTCTCTAACCAATGCTCAATTTATTTGAAACCATCAAGGTCTAAGTGATTATTTTGACCAGCATTTTTTCGGAAAGGTTGTTTTTTACGGGATGGAGTCACTGACGCTATTGTCCAATCCTCCTTTATCTGGGCTTAAGAAATGGCAGTAACCCTAGAAAACTAAGGGCGGAGGATGCTAGGAATTTGTCAAGTAACCACAAGGTCATTATTATAAGGCTAATAAAGGTTACCATTACAGCATAACTCTCTGAACATATGTATACGTAGATATTTGTGATAATCAAACGAAATCATAACATTCAATGAACTAAAATTGATTCATTGGCCAATCGGACATTTGCCCAATGATAAGTGCAAGATAGTGACAAGCGCATGTTGTTAGTTAAGATTCATTTTGACTTCTTGAGGAAATATACGTATGCTATTGGTTGAAAATCTAGCTTAATTTTCTGAGCATGTATGTATATTTATGAGTGATGGACATTTTTTAGACTTCGTTAGCCAATAAAAGTTCCCGACTCACTCTTCATTTTTTCACTTTAGTAGCAAGTTGGGTTCACTTATAGTACGCGTGTATATTAATATCAGACTCGGGTGACAGCAGACCATAGCAAAAATAATGACCTTAAGAAGTATTTCCTAGACTAGAAGCTTCTATGTATATAGCCATTTATTACGCAGGTAGTTCAATGAAGAAGCTGGCTGTCATGCTACACGTAATCAACATAATAGGTAATAGCAGATAACTGTTCAGACTTGTTAAGGAAACCGGTATTAGGAACCCAACTGTTAGCGAAACAATCGCAGAGAAAGATGGACATATTATTCATTCTCAATCCAGGAGATTGGATCGATGGGCAGAATACTTTAGGGATCAGTTCAACTGGCCTTCAGCCACACTTCGGTTTCCCACGATCTCCAGTCGACCTGAATGGCAAGTAGGTTCTCCGACTATTTACGAAGTCGGAAAAGCTATAGGAAATCTGAAGCATGAGAGAGCAGCTGGTCCTGGCAGCTTTACCCCTGAGATTTTTAAGGATGGCGGTCCAGTATTAGCAGTGAGATTAACTGAGGTCTTAGGTAGAATCTGGGAACTGGACGTAATCCCATCTGACTGGTCTCAATCACTGATTGTTCCAGTCTATAAGAAAGGACAAAAGTCCTCCTGTGACAATCACAGAGGAATTAGTTTGACTAATATAGTGTCTAAAATATTAGATTCAATAATACTTCGACGTCTAACCAAAGCTCGTGAAGAGCAGACTAGAGAAAACCAGGCTGGTTTTCGACCTGGACGTGGTTGTATAGATCAAATATTCACACTACGTCAGATCCTAGAACATAGACACACATTCAGACGCCCCACAATGATAGTATTTCTTGACCTTAAGGCGGCATTTGACTCTGTTGATCGTGAGGTTCTATGGCAGTGTTTGTCACTGAAAGGAGTACCAAAGAAGTACATCAACCTTATAAAGGCTCTCTACTCGAACACAACTGGTAGAGTGAGAGCTTATGGTGAACTGTCATCAGAATTGATTACCTCAAGTGGTGTTCGTCAGGGCTGTCCACTCTCTCCATTCTTGTTTAACTTTGTCGTTGACGTCCTTTTAGAGATGACACTTTCCTCATCTAAATTTCCAGGAGTTGAACTTCTACCGGGGGATTCACTCGTTGACTTAGAATATGCCGATGACATAGTTCTATTTGATGAAGACGCTGACAAAATGCAGAGTCTACTGACCACTCTAAGCAACAATGCAAGCATGTTCGGCATGCGATTCTCTCCCTCGAAATGCAAATTGTTGCTTCAGGATTGGGTTGCGTCGACACCCGAACTAGTGATAGGGAGTGAAGTAGTTGAGCGTGTCGACCACTTCACTTATCTTGGAAGTCTCATCAGCCCTTGTGGTCTGGTGTGTTACGAAATCTCAGCACGGATACAGGAGGAACGACTAGCTTTTGCCAACTTGCGTCATTTGTGGTGTAGGCGAGATATCCGTCTATCAACCAAAGGACGTGTTTACTGCGTAGCAGTTCGTTCCGTCCTACTTTATGGCAGTGAAACATGGTCGGTAAGAGTAGAGGATATTCGTAGGTTACTAGTATTTGATCATAAGTGTCTTCGAAACATTGCTCGTATATCCTGGGACTATCGAGTGAGTAACGCAGTTATTAGGAAACCGGTACTAGGTAAGGATGAAAAATTAATTGATGAAGTGGTGAAACTTCATCAGTCGAGATGGCTGGGACATGTGTTACGTATGCCCAACCAACGACTGCCCTGATGTGTGATGTTCAGTGGCATAGGAATAGGTTGGAAGAAAACTAGGGGCGGCCAGACCAAAACATGGCACAAATCAATCAAGTCACTGACAAGTGAACTTAGCCATGTTGTTAGGTGTAGACTACCTGGTTGGGGACCGCGAGATGATAGCAACCGATGGTTGGAGACCCTGAATGACATGGCTCAAAATCGTTTGCAATGACGCAGGTGCACTCACTCTTTGTGTTCTTCCAAATTTTAATCTTCTGAATTCTTCATGTCCCTTCTTTTTTTCCTCTTTCCAAATTTATTTCACTGTATTGTACTCTTTGAATAACACCTTCAAACCTAATGTTTCCGATTACTGCTTATACTCTTACCACCTCTACCGCTACGAGATTAGAATCGACAACTATATCTCTGTGTTAATGTGGTATGGCAACTCGAACTGATGTACGTACGTAGGAAGTTCCGCGTTGTTACTAACTGACTGAATCAGCAAAATTCACTGAGTATGATATCCTGTGATTAGAGACCTCCCCGATATTCATCTGTGAGCTAGAGAAACACAATCAGCTATGTATCAAGTGAGCACTGTACACTTTGTAGATAGGAACGTAAAACCACAAATCTTAACCTAAGAAGCAATCAGATCAAGAATGAATATGATGAATAATTACCAAATGAGATCAAACAACATTCAGAGAGCACGATTGTGAGATAGTAAGTATATCAGTATTCCAATCTATCCTTTTAACGTGAGAAGCTTGTTAACCAAATAGCTCACACAATCATCGACAGCTCTGAGATTTTACAAGGTAGTTAAGTTGATTGCTTCCATGAACACGTGTCTGGCACCCCAAGTAAAATGGATCAGATATAAAATGCATCGAAATTCAAGGATGTTACAGAAAACTACTACCAATCGGTCAGTCATGTGCAACGTGAAACCTTACACATAGGTGCATCGGTTCAAGTTGACATACCACATTAACACATCACGATAAAACTATCAAGGCAAATCCCAGTGTAGTAGAAGCAGAGACAGTATTAGTAGTAGTGGAAAGCACCAGAGGTATAGAAAAATAAAGTATGAGATTACGGAATTCAGGTTCTGTGAGGAGAATGTACCTACACCTGAACCATATCACCTGAAGTCTCTAGATATTTGTGACAACAATCACGTGAACCCTGAGATCTAGTCAGACACCAGACCATCAAGGCTGATGAGAATTTCAAGAAAAGTGAAGTGGTCGACACGCTCAACTACCTCACTCCTTATCATTAGTTCGGGTGTCGATGCAACCCAATCCTGAAGCAACAATTTGCATTTCGAGGGAGAGAATCGCATGCCGAGGAGGTGCAGTTCCATGGTAGCCGGTGACCAACGATTGGTTCATACGCCATTTGTTCCGTCAGGATACTGGAGCCCATGTACACCATTGATTTGGGATCCGGTTAAAGCGCCGGACATTCGCTTTTCGTCCTCTCATTTTCGTAAACAACACCCCCGTCACGAGAAGGCAGTGAGTAGGACTTCCCTGGCAGGGGCTGTATACGCCTGGCCATGTGAGAGCATTTCGAGGGGGAGAGTGGACTCTCCCCACTCTCGGCCGTGATAAACATTTGGAATTTTTTAAAGAACATAAAAGTACGACACCTAAAAAATGGAATCTAATTATTCCTTATTACACGTAACTAATATTTACAGCTGATGTGTGACAACAATGCTTCAACCGCATTTGCATCCAAAGCAGTCAATAAGAGAGAATTAGATCTTTTGAAAGCAAGCGTCCAAGAAAGGAAAAAAGAACTACACAAATAAGTCGTTTGTAGCAGATCGAGTAAAATAAGATGTGTATAACAAGATAACATAAAAAGACAGAGTATCCAATCAGGAAATAGCCAACGTCAATAGGGGAAGTATTGATCTAAGGTCATCATGGGTATCACCAAATGACAGAACAACACATACTAAACAAAGAAAAAAAGCCAGCTTGAGGTCTACCACGTGGAAGTGGTAAAAAAGACAATTTCAGATGACTCCAAATTTCATCACCATACCCACCAAACAAGACTTTGTCATCTTCATATGTAAATCAATAAAGTTACAGACTTTATCATAATACGTTATTCAGGTTCTCCAAAGGATGGTGTCGTACAAGCGATTCAATTACATGGCTACCATAGTTAATACATGATAGGTTAAACTTTACACAATCCAACAGAAAATATATTGAAACAAGAAATTAAATCCCCAACTGAGCAAATTGTATTGTAGAGGTGAACGAGATAGGGAATGAGTGGTGGAAAAGCATCAGTAACCAAATTACAGGTGAAAACAACTACATATTCTGCACAAAACATCCCTTCTTACCATTAAATAGATCGAAACTCCCAAACCAATCACAGCAAGAATAGACAAAGCAAAAATAAACCGGAAGGAATCTTGGGTGAATTTGAATTTTAGAGGTTTCGGAAACAGAATTGACCGTACAAGCTCACCCTTGACAGTGTAAAAGCCAGTGCGTGCAACAACAGCCAGAACTCGCTCATCCGCATAATTTCTCGTTTGAATAACAGTTGTACCAGCAAATAAAATATGCCGACCATGAACTTTGATATCGAATAACGTACCCTTTGATGGTGAATCGGGTAAGGGAATTTTGGTAACTGGAACACTTTCACCTTAATTAGAAAACAATATTATTTGAAAATACATCGGGGTTAGTATGGCATTGAACACAAAGTCCAAAGTGAAAATCAATATGATCCAGTGAATTTCGAATAACTAGAACCGCGTAGTATTTATAACTGATATGGTCGGTTTTTCAAATTAGCACTTCGTGTCAACTCTCCGAGCATGAAACGTTATTGGTGTAGACAAACACAAAACAATAAAGAGCTCTGTAAATAAGCACAGTATCTTATTTCACTGTGTCTCACTGTACTGAACTGTTTAAATGATGAGAAAGTGCAGTGTGAATGGGAAATCATGTTTAGGCTCTTTGATCATATTTGTTGCTCGGATGAGGGTACTTCTTACTTATTTGTAGTAACGAAATAAACTCAGTTTGCACCGCAGAATACATGTGTGTAATCCCAGCATCCGGCCATTCAAACACAGTTACTCTTAAACCCAACATGGAAATCAACTTAACAATATGAAATATTTATCAAGCTCAAATATCCAATATATTTGATACTCCACGCACCCAGATACAAGAAACCATATCATTGAATTCCATTTACTTCAGTGAAATCTCTTGAAAACTCGACACACTTTGAATTCTCTTTTACAAAACGTTGTCATAAGCCTATACAGTAGAAATTTCATCATCGGAAAAATCGTCTACAAATGACATCTGAATTTCTAATACACAATGTTATTCTGACCACATTACTGTAAAATGAAATAATGGTGGCTACTTTCAGACAAAGTTATTGATGAACACCAACCACACACAGAGCAAAAACGATCTCGCCATCATGCAACAAAGCACATTCATCATTCCGTATTCATTCATATAATACACTGCTTGTATTGTTACATAGTAGTTCATGTAGAACAAAAAAATCGTCAATGGTCAGTGAAACCGATTTCCTCTCGAACGACTTTAGTGACGATGTATCCTAGTCCCGTAACATAATATTTCCCAGTCCACAAAAATAAAGAAACACTATACAGATTATAACTCCGCCTGTAGCTCTTCCATAGTTACTGCCGGTCCCAAGCCGGGTAAAGGAGGAGGGTTGGGCATGGGGTTAGCGTCCCCATCCCATAGAAAACTAACTCGCTAAAAAAACGCTAACCAGAAAAAATAACTCAAACCATTTAAACTCTGCCCTGGGAGTTACAGGTAATATGACGCTTCATGGTGAAAGCCGAGTTCCTTCGGAAGCCACGAGGCCGATGCCCCTTCTAACAACCAGAGCAACAATTTTTATAGGTACATGGAACGTCCGGACAATGTGGGAAACCGGGAAGACCAGTCAAATAGCGACGGAAATGAGGAGATACAACTTGGCAGTACTGGGAATCAGTGAAACCCATTGGACCCAAGCTGGACAACAAAGGCTAAATACGGGAGAGATGCTGCTATACTCCGGTCACGAAGAGGAAAATGCTCCACACACTCAGGGAGTTGCTCTAATGCTATCCAAAGTAGCACTAAATGCACTGGTAGGATGGGAATCTCACGGATCTAGAATCATCAAAGCATCATTCAAAACAAAGAAGGAGGGGATCACAATGAACATTATCCAATGTTATGCACCCACCAATGATAGTAACGACGACGTTAAAGATCAATTCTATGAGAGGCTGAAATCAATCATAGAGAAGTGCTCAAGAAAGGACCTCATCATTCTGATGGGAGATCTAAACACCAAAGTCGGAATGGACAACACCGGATATGAAGACATCATGGGACTACATGGACTGGGAGAGAGAAACGAAAACGGGGAAAGATTTGCAAATCTGTGTGCATTCAATAAATTGGTCATACGCGGCACAACATTTCCACACGAACGTATACACAAAGCTACATGGATCTCACCGGACCACACCACAGAGAACCAGATAGATCACATTTGCATCAATAAAAAGTTCCGAAGGACAATGGAAGATGTGAGAACCAGGAGAGGAGCGGACATAGCTTCAGATCACCACACAGTTGTGGCCAAATTGAAACTGAAGCTAAAGAAGAACTGGACAACTGGACAAACAGCACTACAAAGACTAAATACAGCCTTCCTTCGAGATACTGACAAACTCAATGAATTCAAGATAGCTCTCAACAACAGGTTCCAAGCCTTACAGGACCTACTGAAGGAAGAAGAAACTACTATGGAGCACAAATCGAAAGGTATCAAAGAAGCATTAACTTCAACGTATCAAGAGGTTCTGGACCTCAAGAAGCATCATCATAAGGAATGGATCGCTATAGAAACACTGGACAGGATCAAAGAACGGAAGAACAAGAAAACAGCAATTAACAACAGTCGAACACGAGCACAGAAAGTCCAAGCACAAGCTGGGAACATAGAAGCAAAACAAGCAAGTGAAGAACAGCATTAGAGCTGACAAGCAAAAATACGTGGAAGAACTAGCAACGACGGCGGAAAAAGCTGCAAGAGAAGGAAATATCAAACAGCTTTACGATACAACGAAGAAGCTAGCAGGGAAATACAGTAAACCAGAGAGACCAGTCAAAGACAAAGAAGGAAGACCAATCACTGAGATTCAGCAACAGCGCAACAGATGGGCAGAGTGCTTCGAGGAACTCCTGAACAGGCCGGCTCCAATGAATCCACCGGACATCGAAGCAGCACATACAGATCTTCCTATAGATGTCAATCCACCAACGACCGAAGAAATCAGAATGGCTATCAGATAAATCAAGAGAGGGAAAGCAGCAGGACCCGACAATATACCAGCTGAAGCGTTGAAGTCAGGCATCGAAGTAACTACAAGCATGCTTCATCTTCTATTCAAGAAGATTTGGGAGGAGGAACAAGTGCCGATGGACTGGAAAGAAAGACACCTCATCAAGATTCCAAAGAAAGGAGATCTGAGCAAGTGTGAAAACTACAGAGGCATTACACTACTGTCAATACCAGGTAAAGTCTTCAACAGAGTGTTACTGAACAGGACAAAAGACGCAGTAGACGCTCAACTTCGAGATCAACAAGCTGGATTCCGTAAGGACCGGTCGTGCACAGACCAGACTGCGACACTACGGATCATCGTCGAACAATCAATTGAGTGGAACTCGTCACTCTACATCAACTTCATTGATTATGAGAAGGCATTTGACAGTGTAGATAGGAGGACGTTATGGAAACTTCTTCGACACTACGGAGTTCCTGAGAAGATTGTCAACATTATCCGGAACTCATACGACGGACTACAGTGCAAAGTAGTGCATGGAGGACAGCTGACAGACGCATTCCAAGTAAGGACCGGAGTAAGACAAGGCTGTCTACTCTCTCCCTTCCTGTTTCTTCTGGTGGTCGACTGGATTATGAAGACCTCGACATCTGAGGGAAACCACGGCATACGATGGACAGCTCAGAACCAATTAGACGACTTGGACTTCGCAGATGACCTAGCCCTCCTATCACATACACACGAACAAATGCAGATAAAGACAGCCGGCATAGCAGCAGTCTCTGCATCAGTAGGCCTCAACATACACAAAGGGAAAACCAAGGTCCTCAAACACAACATGGAGAACATCAATCCAATCACTCTTGATGGCGACTCTGGAAGATGTGGAATCCTTCACATACCTGGGAAGCATCGTCGATAAACAAAGAGGTTCAGATGCAGACGTAAGGGCAAGGATTGGCAAAGCAAGGAAAGCATTCCTTCAATTAAAGAACATATGGAACTCAAAACAACTTTCAACCAACATCAAAGTCAGAATCTTCAATACGAACGTCAAGGCAGTTCTACTGTACGGAGCTGAAACTTGGAGAACTACAACAACCACCATCAAGAAGGTACAAGTATTTATCAATAGCTGTTTATGCATGATACTCAACATCCATTGGCCGGATACCATCAGCAACAGCCTTTTGTGGGAGAGAACCAACCAGCTTCCAGCTGAAGAGGAAATTAGGAAAAGACGATTGAAATGGATAGGACATACATTGAGGAAATCATCAAACTGCATCACGAGACAAGCGCTAACTTGGAATCCTGAAGGGAAGCGGAAAAGAGAAAGGCCAAAGAACACATTACGTCGGGAAATAGAAGCGGATATGAAAGGGATGAATAAGAACTGGAAAGAGCTGGAAAGGACTGCCCAGGACAGGGTTGGATGGAGAATGCAGGTGAGCGGCCTATGCTCCTTCACGAGGAGTAACAGGCGAAAATAAGTAAGTAAGTAAGCACTCGGTTCGCAATCATAAGGTCACAGGTCCAAATCACATTTCAGTTTGGCCTGTCCGGAAGAACCACTACACCTCACAAAAACACCAAGACTTAAGGTCAAGTAGTATGTGAATCCTACTTTCTAAATAAGGAACACTATTATCATTATGATCGTTATGATTATTGTTATGGAGAGTGCTTGAGCACAATTATGTAAACCCAAAATATATGAAATAAACGATTAGAAAGGATAAAAGAACATTATTTTATACAGCATTCTTCATATGCATTTGTGTATTCACATAAAATTTATCGAAGGACTCAAAAGACTGAGTTGAGAATATGGTTGAAATTACTTTATATATCAATGAATCCATGTCTACAGTAACGTTATACTAATGTGACTCACCGGTCAATGTACTTTCATTTACTATACAGTTTCCTGCTAGTAAGATGGCATCACATTGAACCAGACATCCGTTTCGTGGAATTTCAATTATATCACCGGGGACTAACGAAATGGAATCCACTTCTTTGAACTCTGTGAAAATAATTATTTATGAGACATTCCTTCTCAAATATTAATAAAAGAATGAATTATTATTGTCTGAATATCTACTGTTAATGGAATTGAAATAACCAGTTTGGTGGATTGAAAGAACGGTTGGACCAAACTATACAATCGATAAACAGAGACGGATGGTGGCTAGCACTGGAGTCCAGGACGCGGCTATGTGGACTCAGTAGCTAGGTGGACAACGCGATGGCGTTTGAAGTGAACAGTACTGGGCTCGAGTCCCGGCGTGAACGTCATGTATGGAAAACAGGTACATACAGTTCACAAGTCCCAAATAAGGCGAAACGCACACCTAGGACTCCACTGCTAGCCACCATCCATCTCTGCTGCTAATGCATGTGACGTAAGGCCATATCGAGGCAATCCGCACAATTGCAGTTCTAAATATCAATGGGGATTCAAATAACCGATACAAAAATAAATCATATGACCAATATTTTTTGTCAAATAGATCTCATTGATAGTGTTAATAATTCAAATTTGGGAAGACTGACAGTTGAAATTCCCCATCAAATACCAGAATATCCACATCATGGACGGCCCATTATTTTTGACAAAATAGAAAAGTGCTGACGCATGACTTAGAACAATTTCGAGGTCAGATTTTACGGAGGTTCATGTCGAGAGTTTGTCCATCGTTATCTCTAACTTGCTAACTCGCAAAAACACACCATTTGTATCTTACAAGGATTTATTTATTTATTTATTTATTTTAACACATAAGTATAGGTACAGGGAGGCACCAAATACATATGCGCCACACAAATCTCAATTGATTTGTGTGAGGGCTGTGATACTGCTCGGGTGCCCAAACCGAAGCAGGTGGTTTTCTTAGGGGGCCACACCCCGAGCCTTTGACCTGAACGTCTGACCCACAAGGCAGTGGAGCATCGTGAGGAGATGCAGTCCCATGGTAGCCGGTGACCAACGATTGGTTCATACGCCATTTGTTCCTTCAGGATACTGGAGCCCATGTGCACCATTGGTTAAAGCGCCGGACATTCGCTTTTCGTCCTCTCATTTTTGTAAACAACACCCCCGCCACGAGAAGGCAGTGAGTAGGACTTCCCTGGCAGAGGCTATATACGCATGGCCATGTGAGAGCATTTCGAGAGGGAGAGCGGACTCTCCCCACTCTCGGCCGTACCAGGGCATTTGGGGGCGTCTTACAAGGAAAGTTACTACATAACTGGTCCGCTATTTTATAAACGAAATTCAGTCTAACTAAATCATATTCATCAATACAAACGAATACATTATTATGAAGATTGGTAGAATATGAAGCGCATTTAAAAGTCTGCAAAATATGCAGACATATGTTATAGACATCTAATTTGTGCAGTGATAATTCCTTTTGAGTAACTGAATAATCAAACAGGTACAGGTCAGGTAAGGCTCATAAATAATTATCTGAGACCACAGCGACAAATTGCCTTTATGGTGTATCACCATCACTATTACTATTATTATTACTTTTACCGTTAGCTGGACGGAACTCTTAAACCCTGAACAACAGACGTGCTTTCTTACGATCAGTAAGTCACACTGATTAGTTAACTTAAAAACGTCACTAGATCTGTGATTGAGTATGGAGGATTGCCTTAACATGAAACAGGTAAAGAACCTAATCAGTTTCTTATCAATATCAGGTGATAAAGCTCTTATAGTGTAACTCATCTATGCTATGACTTTACTTCGACTACGGAACTGGATACTATCACAATGTTCATCCAACGTAAATACGCTTCAATTGAATATGTATTATCCCCCCTCACCAATATCTCTTGATTTAGCCCTCAAACTACGGAGAAATTAAAACCAAGTCGAAGGTTTCTTTCTTTCTTCAACCGACAAAAAAACATGAGAAAGTGTGTGAAAATCTATGCATCTAAGAGTCATAGATAATTAACCATTTAGATTGAAAATTTGAAGATACTCAGGCGACCTAAAAATTATTAATGGCGATAAATCCCAAGTAACCTTTTCGCTGATTTAGCTCAATTTTTTGCGAAACGATACATTTTCCAACGATCTATCAACTACAGGCTTTCATATTCGGTTTTAAGGCACATATTCTGTGTATGAGCCAACAATACCATAAGACCGCCTGCATGAAAATACTCTGAGGGCGGTTCGAGCCAACTCAATCATTGAAAGTCGAATCTTTCAACCACTAGGCTACTGCACAATAACGTTAGCAATCAGAAATCATGGGTCGCAACAATCAAACGAACGGAATCTAAGTGAAGTGAACGAGAACACAAGTGCGGACAACTAAATGTATTTCAACACAAAATTACAGAATCTCTTAGTAAAATCTGACAACCATACAGTAAATGCTTCATCTACAAAATGTCAATCAATTGTCTCAAACTTGACTGTTCCTTCTGCAAATGTCATTCAACCGTCTCAGACTTCATTGTTCTCTTGATTCCACATCAATCATTCTTTATTCTCGTTCTCTTTCCTTCAATCTTCTTAACCTTCTGCCTCCATGCATTTCACTTTCGATTGATGATACATACTACTTATATCTGTCGACATCAGTAGCACACACCATACAAGTTCAGTCATTATACAAGTCATGAAAAGGATTACAGAAAAATAAAATATGTGCATACCTTTAACCCCATCTTCCTCTCGATAAACGATTGCAGAAGAGGATATACACATAGTTTCTTTAAGAGTCCTTTCGTTCTACAGAAAAAGCGTTTTGTTACAAATGGGGAAATGCAAGTATGCAAATAGAGCATTATTAGCATTGCTTCAAAACATTCAAATACAAAATTTTCACTGAGGAATTATACAATGTTCTATTATTTCAACATTCAATGATTCCATATGTGAATCTACTACACGATACTGACAAAGAAAATTCACTGGATCTAAGGAAACGAAGGAAGAAACTGCTATTTGATAGTTACTATAAACACATACGTCCTGTCCTACAAATGGTATTACTTTAAATTCGAATATTTCCCCATGGAACAACGTACCATGTTACCCAAATATTTAGGATCAAGCTATCCTCATCACTTTTATCAAAATCTTATGGCGAAACCGTTATGAATTAATTTATCACTTTGTAAAGCAACCCATTTAATCTAGTCCGAAAAACTCCACAAACAAATCGTCATACACATACACAGTTTAATATTTGGCGCAGTTTAGCTCTTGAAGAAATACGAAATGAGAGAAATGATGAGGACTTACGACCTCATTTATGAATTGATACAATTGTTGAGACTAAATCCAACTTACTTTTGTAGCCACGTGTAAAACTATACTAACAAACCTAGCATAGATCGATGCCTGAAGTTTTTGACTCACTGGATATTTACTGACTTAGATATCATTTCATGTGGATAGGTTATACTACTAATAGGCTACACTATTTAAACTAATCATTTCACACTTATGTATTCAGAAGGGAATAGAATGACAAAATTAGTCATGTAGTCAGCTGTTCCTTCTTTTCGACTGCACGTAAAGTGAAAAATTTAAATAGAGGTTACAAAGCAGTTGACTAGCTATCTCATTCGCACCGCTTAACATTACCAATCGATCATTATTTCACGTCCCTTTGACGATCAAATCATGCAAACAAACAGCCGAAACTTCCCAATAAGTAAGAAAAATCTAAGTGTTCAGCCCCAAACCACACTTATTATATAATTTAATGATACTGCTTTTCTATCTAAACTATAATAGATAAGGTCGGTGAACAAGTAACGTCCTGATAATCAAAGCATTCTGTAAATCATTGGACCAGTACATCAAAACAAGACCATCAGTTATTAAAAACCGTCAGAATAAGAAAGTAGTTACTTACTCTACGTAGTTCATAAACTTGCCATGATAGTGACATAATTGAAATAACAACAATACAAGTAGCGTACATCCAGTACTCATCAGAATACCACAAAATACAACTGAATATTTGGAAACAGTAGAATGGATTCAAGCACTAAATAAAACAAAGGATAGAAAAACTAAATTTGATATACAAAGCATAACAACTGCGTATCCAGTACCCATGACCAAATCAACCTTCAAATTGTACAAAACTATTCAGTGAATAATCTGACCAACATACCTCATCAAGTAGTAGCCTGAAAATTGAAGTAAGATTGATACTTATTTCATTCGATCCATACAACGCACGATTCATAAGGACCGTTTCGTTATTCAAAGGCTTAGAATCCAAAATTTCTTCATATGTAGTTTCATGCCAACCCCTAAAATTCGAAAGAGATAAAATATTCTTTTCAAGTTCCATTGCACCTAATACACGCAACATAGCGAAAATACTTTGACAACTTCTACATTGTGTTTACATATTAGAATATCCCCACTAGCTTCTTTCTATGTCAGCAACTATGAAGCGTTAACAGAGGTAAGTCGAATTTAAAGGTTAACTTTCCAGGAACTAAATTTATTCCTTATGCACAATTGTAACTGTTCAAAACGAAGTGTAAGGAGTTGTCATCAACTACCGTAATGTTCAACACGTGACAGAAAATTCTATAACAAAATGAGTAGATGGGCTAATACTAGGCAGTGAAGGATCTTCTATAAATGAAACCACAAACAGTACTTGGTTAAGATCCAATCAACGACGATATTTTCCAAAAGTTCACGTAGGAACTAAACAATTCACTAAGAAATGTTCAATACTTAAAATGAAAAAACTGGAAGGTAGGCAAATAAACTAAAAACATAGGAACTACCTTACATGTGTATCGATTTAGGATGACACAATTCACACCACATACTGACGGAAAACTAATAAAATAAAAACTACAGGAGCCAAGATACTAACAAGTAATGGTTGAAAACTAAAACTAACAAAAAAACGTTCAAAGTGAAAGGTTTCAAATTATACTGTTTAATAACTGGCTTAGTGCCCAAGGAATCCGACTCAGTCGCTGATCCCAGGTCCAAACTCCGTCCCACTTATTTGAGGTTTGGGTAACCGGATAGTATCATTAGTCCTCCCATCTAGAATGTGCCTCATATTCAAGTACCTAGTGAATGAGTTAGTTCGTATTATTTTATCTAAGAGATCTAGATGAAGATGCTTCTGTCTACAATCGGGCCTACGGTAATTTCCAAGTACGAATGATAGAGACTATTCTAGTATGAACGGGAACTAACGCGAACTTGACAGTACGACCGATAACACTCGAAACGCCTCAACAATTATCCCCAGACGAGGAAATCTAAAAAGAACACACAGATGGAGAAAATGGCTGATGTTTAATGAATTCAAATCTAAATTGGAACTGTGTGATGAGTATAACAACAAGACACGACCTTAAGACACAGGAAAATAAGTAAACTTAGAGTGGTAGTGATTAGTCAGAGAAAAGCAATGATCGTTTAGAAGTAAAAATTAGAGGAAATTTCATTGTGGTTACCATAACATGAAGGAATTCGACATTTACTGACAAAAACCAGGTGGCCTGAGGTATCCCTACCAAGATAGAGAAAGAATGTATATTCAATTGAGACTTGTAACCAATCGCTCTTTGACCAGAGATTACTATTTTCGCATGGATCCATAAGGAGAAGACTGAAAATCCTGAAACAACCCAAATCAATGTCGTATTTTCTTCGGGTGACCCTAAGCCTTGTTCGAAACCACCGCTTCACCAGTCAGTAATGTACAGCGAGGTAGGGGATTGCTGAGAACACGTAAACCGTCTCCTAAATAAGTAACTCTGGAAATTCACAACCTAAATCATTTTACTAGCTTTACCAATTCCTCTACGTTTAACGTAAGTGATTTTCAGTTAACGTCCTACCATATACAAACAATGCCTCAAACATACCTACAATCAACTACTGGTTACGTACACATGTCTTCTTCTTATTATTATTATTTGAACACATAAATATTGGTACAAGGGGGCACCAAATATATATGCGCCACACTAAAACATGATGAACTATTTACACATGCCTTCTACACTAAAGTCAAACTTTTCCACTTATCTTCATGATTATTCACTAATTAGTTGAAGAGCATCATAAGTATAAATATTGAGGTCTGTCGTACTACTAAACACATGCTTCGGAAATCGAATTTTAACACGCAGTTTGGAGTCAAGTTTCAGGAGGCATAACGCTTTGTAAGCTTGAATCATTATTCATATGGGAGAAAATTAAGCTGAATATGAATGATTGATAGCATGAACAAAACTGAATCTAAAAGTGGATGTGGGTTGACAGTAATTAAGATGAATTTGAGTGCATTATTCATAATACCCAGTCACGCACGTTGTGGAAGGATACTTAATCACCAGTCTGTACCCATTAACATGGTTACGTCCACTGACATTTGAGCCAGTCATATATCATTTACGAAACAAGTTGTTCCTTGTGAGAAAAATGTTATACTGATAAAGACCTCTTGATATGCTCAGATAGAGTTCGAAACACGGTAACTATTCAGACAAGCGTTAACAAGAATCTTAAATAGAGAAGCAATAATTATATTTATCGTTTTCTAACTGGAAAGCTCCCAATCTATATTCTGTTTGAATGAGAATGCCCCCAAATGCCCTGGTACGGCCGACGGTGGGGAAAGTCCGCTCTCCTCGAAACGCTCTTACATGGCTACGTGCTAACAACCACTGCTAGAGAAGTCCCACTCACTACCTTTTCGTGCCGGGGTTGTCATTTATGTAATCGAGAGAATGAAAAGCGAATGTCCTGCGCTACAGCCGCGTTGTAGACATTGAGGGTCCACCTAGGGGAATTGGAATACCCCGATCCCAAATCAATGGTTCACATGGGCTCCAGGATCCTGAAGAAACAAATAGAGTATGAATCAATTGTTAATCACCGACAACCATGTAACTGCATTTCCTTACGTTGCTCCACTATCTTGTGGATCGAACCTTTAGGTCGAAAGCTCCGGGTCCGTCCTCCCCAAAACAACCACTTGCTTCGGTCTGGGCACCCGGGCAGTATAACAGCCCACTTAATAATCAAGTGACTTGTTATAACTTGTGACCGCCGATTAGCGATCAGTGACTTATCGATCGGATCAATGACGTGTAAAACCCGTACGAGCAGTCTACAGCACTGAATGGTCCTCCTTTCTGTCTAGCCCAGCCAGTTAAGTCTAGAACACCAATCCGAGCCTCTGAGATATGAATCATGTACTTCAAACATACTCTGTTTATATACCAATCAAGCAGACCACAACGTACCATAAAATAGAAAATAACATTTGTACAAGATTTGGTCAAAAGTGGATGTGAATGAGGAAGGTAGTGATGAATAGACATGGAATAATTCAAGAATGGAAAATCGTATAATAACGGTTCATAGGCTGAAATAAAGCTTATGATAACAGAGACATGAATATGAAAGGTTTAGTTAATCAACAATTATACAACAAAAATATACGCACAGTATTAGTCCATAAATAGATCCCCAAAAATTACCACTCTATTCTTATCGGGACACAACACTTGTGTGGCGCATATGTATTTGGTGACCCTTCGTACCGATATTTATGCGTCCAAATTAAATAATAACAATAAAGATAAGTGCATAATGTGTACTCAAGAACACCTCTAATTAGTATTATATGACGTCTAGATACTCAATTGACAGAGAAATTACATTAGAATTTGGACAAATAAATTGTATTTGGAAGGAGTTGAAACAATCTTCCAGGCAAGACGGCCAAAATTTGTGCATAGTTGCAATACAAAAGCAACAAAACTATAACTATGAGGTAATTATTTGAAAAGAAATGTAGTCCATGGCTAAATGATAATCAAAAAATGTTTGTAGAAATACACAAAGCCGAACAGTGGCAAACCCGGAGCCAACAAATGAACCAGCTATTCGGGAGCTAGGATAAGTGTATGATGGGTATCTAAGAACACCTCTATCTAGTATTAGACATCTATATACCCATATATATTTGGTGCCACCTTGTACCAATATTTGTGTGCAAATAAATAAATAATATATACCCGGTTGAGTCTCCTAAATGTGTAGAACCACAGATATTACATTAGAATTTGAACGAATAAACTGTATTTGGAAGGAGTCAAAACAATTAAATATCTTATCATAAAAATAAATAAACGGTACCGATCGACAACCAAAAACTATTGTCATAGATAAACATTAAAAGATGGGCGTAAATCTCACCTTGGGAGCTCAAAACGATTAGTCTTGCTGTCCCATACATACTTTAAACATTTGTGAACAAAGTAACACATCATATTGCCATCCTAAATAATAGAATTATTACAAATATTTACTAACATTTTCAGAACATGACACTTGCGACAGCATGAAAGAGGCAGATTTCTGAACGTACGAGTGCTTAGTACAACTGCTAAAATGGGTGAGAAGACTCATGTTATTCTTACTTTGTTGTTCCAATTACTTCAACAACCACGTCATGTATGTAGCGAACACCGTGGACATCCTGCAAGAGAAATTTAGTACGTAGTTTATATTTTGTTATAGGCTCATGAAGCCTAAAATGAACGGGGACAAGCAATTACTTTGACAAGTATCTTCTCGGCTTTTATTAAAGCGCATTCCTTATTCATGCATATCAGCATCCAATGAGGGAACCAGTGAAACACTAGTCTCAGCAGTCCACAAGTTAAAACGATGCCAATGTACATAAAGATGGTCCGTACGTATGATATCGAATAACCCGTAATATCCTTGATTTGTAAACACGAAGAAATAAAGAAACATACCACCACATTATCGTCAAGTTCATTAATTTTTTGACGTTGATCTTCCTGAGTCCAATCTTTGGTATTTTCGATCGATGCAGGCATCCGAAGGTCGATTTATACGTCTTCTTACTAGCCTGATACTAAGGAACCACAAAACTAAAGGAGAAACAAGTGCGATGGAGCCGCAAGAAACGACTCATGTGAAAATCACACCGTTACGCTCCAATACAAATTCTTTTCATCGACAGTGTCCAATATACTCGAATATAATCCAAACCCGATTAATCGCAAATGTTTATGAAAAAACCTGTATTTTTATCCAGCACATGACCAAGGAAAATTCCTAAAGGTATATGTATTCACATATGAGAATAATACTGTTAGTATCGTTTTTTTAATGGTCCTTAATGATTCAAATGGTTCAAATCAGTTTCAGTTTCAGTTTGGAAAGGACAGGAGGCTTGATGGCCTGTGTTAGTCCTGGCAATTGTGTTCTCTCAGTTGATCCAACTTTCTTTTGAAAGAATCTACGGATGGAGCTTCAACCACGTGTTGAGGTAATGAATTCCACTCGTTGATGATTCGGTGGGAAAGTCGATAATCAGCTGACAAGTAATTTGTTCTGGGCTTGTGAACTTTTTTGGAGTGTCCTCGTAAATTCTCTGTTTTGGAAGACAGGAAGAATGAGGGCATATCAGGTGCAAATTTATCACTAAGCAATTTGAAAACTGTAATCAAGTCGCCTCTAGTTCTACGATATGACAAAGGGAATAGGTTTAGCTTGGCCAGTCGAGCATCATACGGAAGCTTCGCTATTACGGGAATCAGCTTGGTTGCTGTTCTCTGGACCTTTTCTAAAAGCTCACTGTCTTTTTTTAAGCATGGGCTAGCCGCTTGTATGCAGTACTCAAGTTTGGGACGCACGAACACTGTATACAAAGTCAAAAATATTTTAGCGTCGACATGAATAAAAGCCCTATGTATTGACCATAAAGTTCTAAAAGCTTTGGCGGCTGTTGCACGGCAGTGTGCAGTAGTCTTCAGATCTTGGCTAACGATGACTCCTAAGTCACTATGTGTCTGGACAGCAGGTAGCTCAGTGTTATTCATCGTGTATGTTACTGAACCTTGATGACCGATATGCATCACAACACACTTGGAAGTATTTATCGGCAGCTGCCATGTATCAGACCATTCGGATAATTTCTTCAGGTCATTTTGGAGTTCTAAGCTATCACCATTACATCGTATCGTCCTCCATATCTTGACATCGTCAGCATATAGCAAGACCGATGATGATAGTAAGCGAGGAAGGTCATTTACATACAAGAGGAATAGCACTGGCCCCAAAACTGTACCCTGGGGCACTCCACTAAGCACAGTTTCCCAGCTAGATAATTTTGAGTTTACCCGTACTCTTTGTTGGCGCCCAACAAGGAAGTCTTCTATCCACGTCAATAGATTGCCTCCAATTCCGACATTTTTTAGCTTATATTACAGCCGGTTGTGCGGAACCTTGTCAAAAGCTTTGCTGAAATCAATGTAAGCCACGTCTACAGGTAACTTTTGGTCCTTAGAAGCGCACCAGCTTTCTCGAGTGACTAATAAGTTAGTGAGACAAGAATAACCTATTCTGAAACCGTGCTGTTTCTCCGAGAGGATTCGGTTTACATCGAGGTATTTAAACAGCTCTTTCCGAATAATCTTTTCTAAGATTTTTACAACCACACTAGTTAGGCTAACGGGTCGGTAATTCTCAGGTTTATGTTTCGTACCTGTTTTGAAGACAGGACTTACTATGGCGTTCTTCCAGTCTTTTGGTAAATGACCCTGCGTGACGGATAGCTTAAAGCATATACTTAAAGGGTTCGCAACGAAGTTAGATAACTCCTTTAGTAGCCTAGGATGCAATTCATCGGGCCCCACGGATTTACCTATGTCAAGCTTATTTAGCAGATCAAAGACATCGAGTTCATTAATGGTCACGCTATCCAGTGTATGTGTAGGGGGGTTTGTATGCGCTGACGGGAAGGGTGCTTCTATGGTATATACGTTGCTAAAGTAGTTTGAGAACACTTGAGCCTTACCAAAGTCATCTTCCACTAATGATGCGGCAGTACTGTCTCCCCATAGTGCAGGGATAATTCCTCTTCTTTTTGTCCTTTGGTTTATATAGGAATACAGGCGTTTAGGACATTCTATGGATTCCTTAACAATTTTTTCTTCGTACAGTTTTCTAGACTTACGGAGGGTCGAGGCACAGGTATTCCTAGCTTTTCGGTACTGAGATTTTGTCTCATCAGACCCCAGTAACCTAAATCTATCCCACATTTTTCTTCTCTTACGGAGAAGGATGCGGACCTCCTTATTGAACCATGGTGGGGAGTTTCTCGGCCCCCTTGGTCTAGTCCAAGGAATGTGGGGTGCGGTAACTTTTAAATATAGATTTCGGAATGCATTCCAAGCCGTTTCAATTGAGGACGCTGGGTCTATTGTCCAATCTACTAGTGATGCCGAGTGCATGATATCTGGTATGCTTGCTTTCCAGACGTTAGGTCTGGATTGAGTTGACGCTTGCTCGTGATTGACAGTTATATGAAAGTCAAAGTTTAAAACTGCATGATCACTTTTACCTAAGGGTGGCATGTAATGGAGGTTCGCAACGTCATCCTCATAGTGAGTTAATATAAGATCTAGTAAGGATGATTCAGTGTCCGGGTCGTACCTAGTCGCTTCTTTCACATGTTGCACTAAGGCACATGTTATAACCGCATCAACTAGTTCCTGCTCGAAGGAATTATCTGATGATTCGGTTCGCAGATTTCTCCAGTCTACCGTAGGTGCATTAAAGTCCCCTAGGATTAGACATCGACCACATCGCGACCAATTTTTGAGCCTGTTTAACAGGACATCATTTACCTCACAGCTTGGACTGCGATAGACCAAACCAATTAGCAGCTCTTGTCCCTTGAATTTCAAGCGGCAACTAATCAATTCACACGTCCCACTTTCATGGGATACACTATCAATGATGACAAACGGGATAGCATTCCTAATGAATAGAGCTACTCCCCCTCCTTTACGCTTATGTATTCTGTCGGTCCTTACCAAAGTAAAACCCTCAAGATCGAGTTCCATATTATCTATAGACTGTGTCAGCCAGGTTTCTGTGACTGCGATTATGTCTGGCTCTGTAGAGTCAATCTGTTCACCTAGTTCCGATAGCTTATTTAACAAGCTTCGGGCATTAGTGTAACAGATCCTTAGCCTATTTGAGTGGCTTCGTGTTTTACCCAGAGTGGCTTCGCCATCATTCTCTGACGAAGCCTCACAACCCGAAAATTTACAATTTTCAGGTCCTTTTCGCCAGCGTCTAACCTCATTTGTAGTTCTTTTTCGGCTTCCCGTCTTTTTACACGGTCTTCCAACGGCAAGTCCTTTCGGATAAAAACTCCCGAACCCTTTAATTTATGTCCATTCTGTAAAATTAAGTCCCTTTCATTCGAAGATTTGAAAACTACTTTAAGCAGTCTAGATTGATTAGGCTTCAAGTTCGCTAAACTACCTAGTCTATACACCTTTAGCAAGGTGACTCCGGAGATATTTTCAGGCATGAGTTGATTAAGTAGCTGTTTTATCAGGTCAATGTCATGCTCAAAACGAGTTTTTGGTTCGGGATGGAAGAAGCTTTCACTTAACAGGCTTCCGTTTCTATTAGCAGGAGATCACCAATAAGATTGTGGCACATTTCCTGTCATTTATCGGAAGAGAAGCGTACAGCTTATTAAAAACTTTGGCATATCCAGAAAAACATATCTCACTTCCTTATGCAACTATTAAGGAGCTATTATTAAATCATGTAAAGTGCACTAGTTTTGAATGCCGTGAAAGGGCGAAATTTCATAAGATGCATCGTCAAAATGACCAAAAGGTTAGGGAATTCATCCTTGAATTGCAGAAACAAGCTGCCAAATGTAATTTCGGTGATCAACTTCATGTGCAACTGAGAGACCGATTAATTGCAGGAATTAACATACCGGGTTTGGAAAGAGAGCTGTTAAGAATGCCGAACTGTTCCTTTCAAGATGCTAGAACTGCGTGTATTAACTACGAGGCAGTGAATGAACTTGATATCCAGTCGATGAAGATTTCTAATACTTTGATTAGTCGTCATGATGAAATACAATCTCAGGGTCAATCAAAATTGCGTTCGTTTAACAGTGATTCCTATTCTCGTGTAAATATCAAAGCTGATCCAACAAGGAATTACAAAGCAAATCACAAAGGTGAGACCAAGTTTGGTAATTGTTTATCATGTGGAAAACTTCATTCTCGTAATTCATGTGCATTTCGTAATGCTACATGTTTTAAATGTGATAAGATAGGACACATTCAGTCAGTATGCAAAGCTACTGTTCATTTTACTTCAAGTAGTACTAAATCTTGTAATTTAGATCCCAATAATTTGGCTTTTCTTAATGATCATTTAGTTTTGTCTACCATTTCGAAAGGTAATGCTCATATTCAAAAGCGATTATATACATGGCTTGGTTCATTTCATGACTTTATTGTGGACACCGGCAGTATAGAGTCCATTATTTCATTCAAGAACTTGAAATCTTTAGATCCTAACGTTGTGGCACGACCCACTGAAGTATCAATATTGGGGATTACTGGACACAGACCGCCTATACGAGGATGTTGTGAATTGCTAATAAGAGATGATAATCCTTCATACATACCTTGGGAATTTTTAGTTAGCGAAACAGGACTGTCAATACTGGGCTTAAGGAATTTGAAAAGGCTCAAAGTGCAGCTGTCTTTCCTAGTTTCTAAAGAAAATTCTGATGCTTTACTTAAAGATTTGATAGCCACGTGCGCTAAATGCAGTGGAGGTATGAAAATTCAGCCTATAAAACTTCAAGTACAGGGTGATTCAGACTTTCTTAAAAGACGAACAATTCCTTATGGTTTTCGAGATGCAGTACATAAGACATTAAACGATTTGTGTGCGAAAGGCATAATTGAACCAATTCAGTCTTCAGCGTGGTTTACTCCTATTGTTACGCCAATGAAATTGGACGGCAAGACTCCTAGAATATGTGGTGACTATAGATTAACATTGAACTCCCGTTTGTTGAAGCAAACATGCACGACGGTAGAGGCTGAAGATATTCTAAATCGACTTCATGGTTCTAAAGTGTTCTCGAAAGTTGACCTAAAAGACGCTTATCTCCAAATCCCTTTAGATCA